AGTTTGGATCTGGTTCTAATGCTAAAATGTGTGGTTCAATCTCAAATGATATGATACAACAGACATACACTTATAGTAAGTTACAGTAGAGCCAAACAATGAATTAACCTACATCATACAGATGTTTCGTCCTTCTAGGACTCGTCGGTAATGCTACATCATACAGATGTTTCGTCCTTCTTGGACTCGTCGGTGATGCTACATCATACAGATGTTTCGTCCTTCTTGGACTCTTCGGTGATGCTACATCATACAGCTGTTTCGTCCTTCTAGGACTCGTCGGTGATGCTACATCATACAGCTGTTTCGTCCTTCTAGGACTCTAAGGGTCTCTACTTTCAGATTTGTTTAATTGAAATCATGAAGTCCGTGATTTCGTTAATTTCAAACTAAACCAAGCTTCAAAAATCAAAGATGGTTACATAATGGCGTTTATTATCTGACAGGTCCAAAACTTTAACAAATTTCATTAATATGGAAGACCTGACACTAAGATAAACCCAATCCAGTACTCACAAGAAATAACTCTATTAAACTAAACTGTCCAAGTTTTACAAGAGACTACATGTCGCCCATCTCGTTTGGTTTATTTCAGTCCTAAAGTTTATCATGCTTACTTAGAAACCATGACATGTATGCACGTGTAAAACCTAAGATAAAGCGATACGAAACCAACTCTTTGAGAACAGCCTGTAATACCAGAATTTGACAGGACTGACAACAACAAGGGATAGTGATAATTGTTTAAGGACGGACGGGTGACAGATATGCAGACCAAGACCAAAAACCAAAAAAAAAAAAAAAAAACAAATTGATTCCATCAATATCACTCAAAACACGATATCTCTTTTTAAACCCCCACCCCCTTCTTGTTTTATAATGACACATTTTAAATTATGAAACAGACTTTTGAACATAGAATTAATTTCACTTCTTAATGTTCAGATCATGACTCGATGAACACAGGTTAAATTTATGTTCTTTTTCATTGCACTTCTTTTGATTTTTGTGTATGAAATATCCCCCGTCTTCCTCGCTTTCAGGTTCAAAATAATGGCAAACCGCACCAGTCAGTGTTTCTATATATGGTAAAATATCCCCCGTCTTCCTCGCTTTCAGTTTCAAAATAATGGCAAACCGCACCAATCAGAGTTTCTATATATGGTAAAATATCCCCCGTCTTCCTCGCTTTCAGGTTCAAACTAATGAAAAACCGCACCAATTAGTGTTTCTACATATGGTAAAATGTCCCCCGTCTTCCTCGCTTTCAGGTTCACAATTATGAAAAACCGCACCAATCAGTGTTTCTATATATGGTAAAATATCCCCCGTCTTCCTCGCTTTCAGGTTCAAAATAATGGCAAACCGCACCAATCAGTGTTTCTATATATGGTAAAATATCCCCCGTCTTCCTCGCTTTCAGGTTCAAAATAATGGCAAACCGCACCAATCAGAGTTTCTATATATGGTAAAATATCCCCCGTCTTCCTCGCTTTCAGGTTCAAAATAATGGCAAACCGCACCAGTCAGTGTTTCTATATATGGTAAAATATCCCCCGTCTTCCTCGCTTTCAGTTTCAAAATAATGGCAAACCGCACCAATCATAGTTTCTATATATGGTAAAATATCCCCCGTCTTCCTCGCTTTCAGGTTCAAACTAATGAAAAACCGCACCAATTAGTGTTTCTACATATGGTAAAATGTCCCCCGTCTTCCTCGCTTTCAGGTTCACAATTATGAAAAACCGCACCAATCAGTGTTTCTATATATGGTAAAATATCCCCCGTCTTCCTCGCTTTCAGGTTCAAAATAATGGCAAACCGCACCAATCAGTGTTTCTATATATGGTAAAATATCCCCCGTCTTCCTCGCTTTCAGGTTCAAAATAATGGCAAACCGCACCAATCAGAGTTTCTATATATGGTAAAATATCCCCTTTCTTCCTCGCTTTCAGGTTCACAATTATGAAAAACCGCACCAATCAGTGTTTCTATATATGGTAAAATATCCCCCGTCTTCCTCGCTTTCAGGTTCAAAATATTGGCAAACCGCACCAGTCAGTGTTTCTATATATGGTAAAATATCCCCCGTCTTCCTCGCTTTCAGGTTCAAAATAATGAAAAACCGCACCAATCAGTGTTTCTATATATGGTAAAATATCCCCCGTCTTCCTCGCTTTCAGGTTCAAAATAATGGCAAACCGCACCAATCAGTGTTTCTATATATGGTAAAATATCCCCCGTCTTCCTCGCTTTCAGTTTCAAAATAATGGCAAACCGCACTAATCAGAGTTTCTATATATGGTAAAATATCCTCCGTCTTCCTCGCTTTCAGGTTCAAAATAATGAAAAACCGCACCAATCAGTGTTTCTACATATGGTAAAATGTCCCCCGTCTTCCTCGCTTTCAGGTTCACAATTATGAAAAACCGCACCAATCAGTGTTTCTATATATGGTAAAATATCCCCCGTCTTCCTCGCTTTCAGGTTCAAAATAATGGCAAACCGCACCAATCAGTGTTTCTATATATGGTAAAATATCCCCCGTCTTCCTCGCTTTCAGGTTCAAAATAATGGCAAACCGCACCAATCAGAGTTTCTATATATGGTAAAATATCCCCCGTCTTCCTCGCTTTCAGGTTCACAATTATGAAAAACCGCACCAATCAGTGTTTCTATATATGGTAAAATATCCCCCGTCTTCCTCGCTTTCAGGTTCAAAATAATGGCAAACCGCACCAGTCAGTGTTTCTATATATGGTAAAATATCCCCCGTCTTCCTCGCTTTCAGGTTCAAAATAATGGCAAACCGCACCAGTCAGTGTTTCTATATATGGTAAAATATCCCCCGTCTTCCTCGCTTTCAGGTTCAAAATAATGGCAAACCGCACCAGTCAGTGTTTCTATATATGGTAAAATGTCCCCGTCTTCCTCGCTTTCAGGTTCAAAATAATGGCAAACCGCACCAGTCAGTGTTTCTATATATGGTAAAATATCCCTCGTCTTCCTCGCTTTCAGGTTCAAAATAATGGCAAACCGCACCAGTCAGTGTTTCTATATATGGTAAAATATCCCCCGTCTTCCTCGCTTTCAAGGAGAATAAGACCATGCGTTCCGGAGGAGTAAGCGTCCTCTGTTCATCGACGAAACCCGCCATGTAAATCTTGGTCAATCCAAGTAAGTACAAGTGCATATCAAATAATACATATGTAAGTCAACAGATACGATGTATGACCGACAAAAGCATTCACAAATCTTCTGCGTTACCACTAAACATTGCTATGGAGAGGGATTGCTATACAACAGACAGCCAGAGCGTGTTCTTGCGATATTTATTTCCCAGGAAGTCAAGAAACGGATCGGCCTGTGGTGTTTTGATTGTGTACTTGAACTACATAATTAACCCTAATTTCCCCGGATAGCTTGTAACCGGCCTCCCGTATGTTGTTCAGTGATGTAACCACCAGTAACAACAATGAGACCGTGCCTATTCATATATCAAGATATATGTAAATATCACGATATTAGTTCAAGATGTCAACTCCTAACACATCAATTCAACAAATGCATGTGGATGAGGATTATGGGGAAATATGGTTAACTTCATGTTTTATTAGGGAATATCCCACTTGTGCGATACGGAGCTGTACGTATTAAATGCTCATTAGTATGACTAGTGGTTATTTCTTTGTTCAAATTTGGGAACGCCACATTACTTGGATTGACACGACGAGTGTTGTGGTTGAAGAAGACGCCTACTTTTCCTGAACACATGGTCTTACTCTTGTTATAGGTTTCACAGATCTGTCCTAGTTTCATCGTGATTATCGTGAGAACGTATCGCGTAGGTAATCGTGATACTGGAACCAGCCCTTGAATATTGAATCAGCTGTGATACGTTAACACTAAATGGTGGGAATACCGGAACAGATGAAGTGAATCTTCACTTAAGACCGCTTAGGCACTGGACCAAAAGATGTTCCCAATAGTAGGGAGGGCTACCAGACTTACTTTTCCCGTGTCACTGTCAGTAAGTAGTATATTGTATTACGTAACCTTATTATCAGAGTAGCTAACGTAGACTTACACCTAAATATGTGTCAGCAGTTACACAGTACAACACACACGATGTGACATTTTAGATTTTCATATCTTTGGTCTGACTATTGACGTGCAATTCAATGTAGATCAAGTCTTTAAGACCTTTTAACAAGAGACCTAGCGGCATTGAAGGTCACCGGAGAAAAGCAATATTGAATATAAAACCTTTATATTGAATATAAAGGTTTAAGTGTTATGAAAAAGAAACTGTGACATTGATGATAGTAAGCCAGTGTGTTTATACATGTACACCATCAAAAATGTCATCTATACTAATAATGCGTACAAAGTTATTTCCAGTGGGAAATAAGGTTATGTTCAAAATGCATTTTTTCTATAATAAATGACAGTAAAGTTAATCTCCTCCCCAGGAAAAAATGTGAGACCCATTTTGGTAATTAAAGCATCTTAAGACGCTTCCATCCATGAAAAGCATTTCATTCTACCTTTGTCAGCCCCTTCGGGTTGGGGACTGTATTAATTCACAATTTTGGTTCATCTCAGGCCAATGAAGGATTCTGCAAAAATACATTTAAATGGGTTAAGGGTTTTTTGAGAAGCAATCGAAAATGTTAAATTGTTTACTGACCCACAATGCCAGACAAATGTGATCTAAATAGGTCACCATGAGGCTATGTCTCAGGTGACGTATAAACTGGTAGTAATTGTGAGGTAGTTTTAATAGTGAAGTAATTTTAATAGTTAAGATTACAATACATAGATTTAGGAGGAGACAGAAATAAAATTAATTTTATAGCGAAGTGGGTTTAAGCGAGTATATGAAAACAATCAGTCAAATAGATTGTAAAAAGCATAAAAAATTCAAATAAAAACGCTAAAATTCATTTCGATAAAACAATATTGCAACATTTTAATGTAACTGTATCTCATTCAAAATATTTAGGGCGATATATGTTAAGTGTAAAAATAATATGACATTGAAATATTTACTTATGAATTAAGGAAAATTTTTCCAAATAAAGCTCATATAAATATGCTAGAACAAAAACTGTCTTAAAAGAAACTCTCTGATAGATCTTATCATTTTTATATATAGAAGGTAACGTCATGTTGAAAGTACTTGGGAGATACAACCTACAAAACGTAGACAAAACAGGCGAGAAAACGATGAAACCAAAAGATGTTAAATATATTAAACAATAGGCATATATACATATGTATACTTTAGCATAACAAATCAATACACTCTCTTTTATTTAATTAATCACATGTAACTTAAAACATTTTAATTTCTTCTTCACAAATTCAGTGTACATATTTAAATAAAGCAAAAAGGAAACTTAAAACTACAAGGACGTTTTGTGAAATATGTCAAAACTTCCTTGTAGTGTTGAGTTTCATTTCCACTTTTGTTTTCTTGTTAAGGAACTCTATTAAATCCTATTGGATCTAGCTGAGGACACCATCGCAAAGTTCCACGTGAGGAATGTTGGATCACCCCTTATTTATTGATAATTCATAACAAATTTAAATATCACAGTACTATTTTCATATACACATGAACTGGATTCATTTATAACTTTATAACCCTCATGGAATGCACTTCATGGAAAGGAAATTATTTGCATATAATGATGCATGGCATTTAGATCACAAGAAAAATAGACCAAGCGGCCATGATGGTCACCTGAGGTAAGTGATATTGAATATAAAAGTTATAGGGTAAATAGCTTCCAAGTGTCACAAAACAGAAATTGAGACATTGATGGTAGTAAGACTTAAGTGATACGTTTTAAGCCCTTGATGGTAGTAAGATTTAGGTGACATGTTTTACGTTCTTGGGGTCAGTGTCATTATATGTATACTATCAAAACTGTCTTCCTTAATACCTATAATTCTTACAAAGCATTATGGATAAAGTTATGCTCAAAAATGCAATTTTGCTATAAAACTATAATAAACTTGACCCCTCCCATGGTGAAATGTGAGACTAAAGGGCACTGAAATTTTGGTAAACCACTGAAGACACTTCCATCCATGAAGAGCATTTACTTCTACTATATCGGGGTGTTGAGAAGAAGATTTTTGAAATCCGAGTAATTTTTTTTATCCCTTTCCGCCCCCTCAAGCCCCTGTAGGATGGGGACTATATAATTCACTATTTTGGTTCATTATTAGCCAGGTAAGGTTTCTGCAAAATTTCCTTAAACTCAGTTCAAGGTTTTTTGAAAAGAAATAAACAAATTTAAAAGTTTTCAAACACACAAAGCCAGACAAAATGTGATCACAAGACTTTGTCTCTGGTGATCTAGACAAAAGATTTTTATAAATGAACACAAAACAAATTGAAGATAAACAAGCATGCATTATGCAAATAGACAGTCATCTGACTTGAAAAGCAATTTTTGCTACAAAGATGATATTTTCAGTGGTGCATCAACAGTCTGGACGTTTCTCAAGGACTTCTCGCATATATTCCAAAACTGAGACAAAAAAACAGTACAATTTCACCTGTACCGTCTGCTGCAAAAAAGGGGAAAATGGGTTCTTAATAAACCAGCTTGTGATAACATACTAAAACTTTTCATACGTGTTGTATTGATTACTGTTGTTAAATGTTAAATGACAACGCTCATAGACATAACTGCTGGTATTGACGACACAAACTGCTGTCTGTGGTTCTATGACAACGCTCAAAGACATAACTGCTGGTATTGATGACACACACTGCTGTCTGTGGTTCTAAGACAACGCTCAAAGACATAACTGCTGGTATTGACGACATACACTGCTGTGTGTGGTTCTATGACAACGCTCAAAGACATAACTGCTGGTATTGACGACATACACTGCTGTCTGTGGTTCTATGAAGTCACTGCCTAAGACTTCAAACTGCAGGTATTGATGACATACACTGCTGTCTATGGTTCTAGGACAACACTGCCTAAGACTTCAAACTGCTGGTTTTGACGACATACACTGCTGTCTGTGGTTCTAGGACAACACTGCCTAAGACTTCAAACTGTTGGTATTGACAACATACACTGCTTTCTGTGGTTCTAAGACAACACTGCCTAAGACTTCAAACTGCTGGTTTTGACGACATACACTGCTGTTTGTGGTTCTAGGACAACACTGGCTAAGACTAAAAACTGCAGGTATCAACTATAGACACTGTTGTATGTTTTAATATTGTTTGAGGTCAACGTAACCTAAAACATTGTTAGGGCATCCTGGTGACCCTTGACATCTGATCTTTTCAAAATCTAACTCAACAAATTTGAAGGTCAAAACATGTGAAAGAGACAAGTGTCCCTTCTTATTCAAGAATCACAACTCATTTTTGGAAGTGAAATAATACTCTCAAGGGTTTAATAAAATCCCTGATTGTTGAGGGTGGTCCAAAGACAATGTTGTCCGAGACTTAAAAAAAAAAGTCTAGTACTGGACCCGAACTTTGTTGTTTTTAGTTCCGAGGGAAAAACTGAAAAATGTGACATTTTGAATCTACAGCCATGAAAGTTGTTTGTGTATAGAGTTTTTACTAGATCACTTGCAGACCACCTAAGCCATGTAATCGTAATACTGCTTACGGATGCCAGTGTCTGTGGTCTGCCTTTTGGAGGCAATGTCAATTTTCTTTCTGTTGGATGCACCTGTAAACTTTGCAGATGACTGTCTCATCATTTTACTGTACATTCTTGAGGACTGGTCAGATCCTTTTCCGGAGAAACTGTTCTGTAACATAACAAAAGACAAATTTCCATTATAATGATATAACAGATGTGTCTCGAAGATTTTGCACAGTCAACTTGGCAGATTTTGCACACAGTCAACCTGAAAGATTTGGCACACTGCTAATTTAGAAGATTTTGCACACAATATTACTGAAAGATTTTGCACACAGTCAAATTGGAAGATTTTGCGCACAGTCATTTTGGAAGACTTTGCACACAGTCATTTTGAAAGACTTTGCACAGTCATTTTGGAAGACTTTGCATACAGTCATTTTGGAAGACTTTGCATACAGTCATTTTGGAAGATTTTGCACACAGTCATTTTGGAAGACTTTGCACACAGTCATTTTGGAAGATTTTGCACACAGTCATTTTGGAAGATTTTGCACACAGTCATTTTGGAAGACTTTGCACACAGTCATTTTGGAAGACTTTGCACACAGTCAACTTGGAAGATATGTATAATATCTGATTACCAAGACAACAAAACAAAACAAAACTCATATCATTCATAATATTTCTGTAAAGTTCCTTTGAATATTGGTTAACAATTCTGGACAAAATCCACTAATCATTGATTTTCTTTGGTTACCATGGCAACAAAATAAAATTGGATCTTATGGGAAATATCACCATAGTCGTTGTCATCCTAACATTCTTCGAAACTCTTGTTTATACATTAACAGCATACGCAATCAATATCTCGATTTTGACCAATCAGAAGCCACCATTATGTTTCTATAGTTATGGTTATGGAAATACCCAATATGTGAATTTATAGGCTTTAATTGTTAATCACATGGTGACGGTGAGATGAGTGGTGACTTTAAGAGTGATACTTATGAGGGGATTGACTGTGACATTAGTGGTGACTTTAAGAGTGGTACTTATGAGGGAGGATGACTGTGGGATGAGTGGTGACTTTAAGAGTGATACTTATGAGGGGATTGACTGTGAGATGTGTGGTGACTTTAAGAGTGGTATTTATGAGGGAGGATGATTGTGGGATGAGAGGTGACTTTAAGAGTGGTACTTATGAGGGAAGATGACTGTGTGATGAATGGTGACTTTAAGAGTAGTACTTATGAGGGAAGATGACTGTGTGATGAGAGGTGACTTTAAGAGTGGTACTTATGAGGGAAGATGACTGTGGGATGAGTGGTGACTTTAAGAGTGATACTTATGAGGGGATTGACTGTGAGATGTGTGGTGACTTTAAGAGTGGTACTTATGAGGGAGGATGATTGTGGGATGAGAGGTGACTTTAAGAGTGGTACTTATGAGGGAAGATGACTGTGTGATGAGAGGTGACTTTAAGAGTGGTACTTATGAGGGAAGATGACTGTGGGATGAATGGTGACTTTAAGAGTAGTACTTATGAGAGAAGATGACTGTGGGATGAATGGTGACTTTAAGAGTAGTACTTATGAGGGAAGATGACTGTGAGATGAGTGGTGACTTTAAGAGTGGTACTTATGAGGGAAGATGACTGTGAGATGAGTGGTGACTTTAAGAGTAGTACTTATGAGGGGATTGACTGTGACATGAGTGGTGACTTTAAGAGTGGTACTTATGAGGGAGGATGATTGTTGGATGAGTGGTGACTTTAAGAGTGGTACTTATGAGGGAGGATGATTGTGGGATGAGTGGTGACTTTAAGAGTGGTAATTATGAGAAGGGTAAGTTTGGGATTAGTGGTGTCTTTAAGGTGACTGTGGGATAAGATGTGACATTAAAAGTGGTATGTTTGAGAAAAGGTGACTGTGGGATAAGTTGTGACATTAAGAGTGGTATGTTTGAGAAAAGGTGACTGTGAGATGAGTGGTGACTTTTAGAGTGGTATGTTTGAGGGAGGATAACTGTGACATGAGTGGTGACTTTAAGAGTGGTACTTATGAGGGAGGATGATTGTGGGATGAGTGGTGACTTTAAGAGTGATACTTATGAGGGAGGATGACTGTGAGATGAGTGGTGACTTTTAGAGTGGTACTTATGAGGGAGGATGACTGTGAGATGAGTGGTGACTTTAAGAGTGGTATGTTTGAGGGAGGATAACTGTGACATGAGTGGTGACTTTAAGAGTGGTACTTATGAGGGAGGATGATTGTGGGATGAGTGGTGACTTTAAGAGTGATACTTATGAGGGAGGATGATTGTGGGATGAGTGGTGACTTTAAGAGTGGTACTTTTGAGAAGGATAAGTTTGGGATGAGTGGTGTCTTGAAGGTGACTGTGGGATAAGTTGTGACTTTAAAAGTGGTATGTTTGAGAAAAGGTGACTGTGGGATGAGTGGTGACTTTAAAAGTGGTATGTTTGAGAAAAGGTGACTGTGGGATGAATGGTGACTTTAAGAGTAGTACTTATGAGGGAAGATGACTGTGAGATGAGTGGTGACTTTAAGAGTGGTACTTATGAGGGAAGATGACTGTGGGATGAATGGTGACTTTAAGAGTAGTACTTATGAGGGGATTGACTGTGACATGAGTGGTGACTTTAAGAGTGGTACTTATGAGGGAGGATGATTGTTGGATGAGTGGTGACTTTAAGAGTGGTACTTATGAGGGAGGATGATTGTGGGATGAGTGGTGACTTTAAGAGTGGTAATTATGAGAAGGGTAAGTTTGGGATTAGTGGTGTCTTTAAGGTGACTGTGGGATAAGATGTGACATTAAAAGTGGTATGTTTGAGAAAAGGTGACTGTGGGATAAGTTGTGACATTAAGAGTGGTATGTTTGAGAAAAGGTGACTGTGAGATGAGTGGTGACTTTTAGAGTGGTATGTTTGAGGGAGGATAACTGTGACATGAGTGGTGACTTTAAGAGTGGTACTTATGAGGGAGGATGATTGTGGGATGAGTGGTGACTTTAAGAGTGATACTTATGAGGGAGGATGACTGTGAGATGAGTGGTGACTTTTAGAGTGGTACTTATGAGGGAGGATGACTGTGAGATGAGTGGTGACTTTAAGAGTGGTATGTTTGAGGGAGGATAACTGTGACATGAGTGGTGACTTTAAGAGTGGTACTTATGAGGGAGGATGATTGTGGGATGAGTGGTGACTTTAAGAGTGATACTTATGAGGGAGGATGATTGTGGGATGAGTGGTGACTTTAAGAGTGGTACTTTTGAGAAGGATAAGTTTGGGATGAGTGGTGTCTTGAAGGTGACTGTGGGATAAGTTGTGACTTTAAAAGTGGTATGTTTGAGAAAAGGTGACTGTGGGATGAGTGGTGACTTTAAAAGTGGTATGTTTGAGAAAAGGTGACTGTGGGATGAGTTGTGACATTAAGAGTGGTATGTTTGAGAACAGGTGACTGTGGGATGAGTGGTGACTTTAAGAGTGGTATGTTTGAGAACAGGTGACTGTGGGATGAGTGGTGACTTTAAGAGTGGTATGTTTGAGAACAGGTGACTGTGGGATGAGTGATGACTTAAAGAGTGGTATGTTTGAGAAAAGGTGACTGTGGGATGAGTGGTGACTTTAAGAGTGGTATGTTTGAGAAAAGGTGACTGTGGGATGAGTGATGACTTTAAGAGTGGTATGTTTGAGAAAAGGTAACTGTGGTATTAGTGGTGACTTTAAGAGTGGTATGTTTGAGAAAAGGTGACTGTGGGATGAGTGGTGACTTTAAGAGTGGTATGTTTGAGAAAAGGTAACTGTGGTATTAGTGGTGACTTTAAGAGTGGTATGTTTGAGAAAAGGTAACTGTGGTATTAGTGGTGATTTTAAGAGTGGTATGTTTGAGAAAAGGTGACTGTGGGATGAGTGATGACTTTAAGAGTGGTATGTTTGAGAAAAGGTAACTGTGGTATTAGTGGTGACTTTAAGAGTGGTATGTTTGAGAAAAGGTAACTGTGGTATTAGTGGTGACTTTAAGAGTGGTATGTTTGAGAAAAGGTAACTGTGGTATTAGTGGTGACTTTAAGAGTGGTATGTTTGAGAAAAGGTAACTGTGGTATTAGTGGTGACTTTAAGAGTGGTATGTTTGAGAAAAGGTAACTGTGGTATTAGTGGTGACTTTAAGAGTGGTATGTTTGAAAAAAGGTAACTGTGGGATGAGTGATGACTTTAAGAGTGGTATGTTTGAGAACAGGTGACTGTGGGATGAGTGGTGACTTTAAGAGTGGTATGTTTGAGAACAGGTAACTGTGGTATTAGTGGTGACTTTAAGAGTGGTATGTTTGAGAACAGGTGACTGTGGTATTAGTGGTGACTTTAAGAGTGGTATGTTTGAGAAAAGGTGACTGTGGGATGAGTGGTGACTTTAAGAGTGGTATGTTTGAGAAAAGGTAACTGTGGTATTAGTGGTGACTTTAAGAGTGGTATGTTTGAAAAAAGGTAACTGTGGGATGAGTGATGACTTTAAGAGTGGTATGTTTGAGAACAGGTGACTGTGGGATGAGTGGTGACTTTAAGAGTGGTATGTTTGAGAACAGGTAACTGTGGTATTAGTGGTGACTTTAAGAGTGGTATGTTTGAGAACAGGTGACTGTGGTATTAGTGGTGACTTTAAGAGTGGTATGTTTGAGAAAAGGTAACTGTGGTATTAGTGGTGACTTTAAGAGTGGTATGTTTGAGAAAAGGTAACTGTGGTATTAGTGGTGACTTTAAGAGTGGTATGTTTGAGAAAAGGTAACTGTGGTATTAGTGGTGACTTTAAGAGTGGTATGTTTGAAAAAAGGTAACTGTGGGATGAGTGATGACTTTAAGAGTGGTATGTTTGAGAACAGGTGACTGTGGGATGAGTGGTGACTTTAAGAGTGGTATGTTTGAGAACAGGTAACTGTGGTATTAGTGGTGACTTTAAGAGTGGTATGTTTGAGAACAGGTGACTGTGGTATTAGTGGTGACTTTAAGAGTGGTATGTTTGAGGGAGATAACTGTGGTATTAGTGGTGACTTTAAGAGTGGTATGTTTGAGAACAGGTAACTGTGGTATTAGTGGTGACTTTAAGAGTGGTATGTTTGAGAACAGGTAACTGTGGTATTAGTGGTGACTTTAAGAGTGGTATGTTTGAGAACAGGTGACTGTGGTATTAGTGGTGACTTTAAGAGTGGTATGTTTGAGAACAGGTGACTGTGGTATTAGTGGTGACTTTAAGAGTGGTATGTTTGAGAACAGGTGACTGTGGGATGAGTGGTGACTTTAAGAGTGGTATGTTTGAGGACAGGTAACTGTGGTATTAGTGGTGACTTTAAGAGTGGTATGTTTGAGAACAGGTAACTGTGGTATTAGTGGTGACTTTAAGAGTATGGAATACTAACATTCTTTTCAAGCCTCTTGTTTAGGTCCTGATGGAGTTCTGCACACTCTGTTCTAAAGTTGTATCGCTCCTCCTTCTGTTCATCAGTAGTACATGCATTGTTTAACAAGCGATTCACTGAGGTCCTGTTAAAGAAATCAAAACTATTAGTTTTCCTTAGCAGTATATCTCTTTAACAGACAATAAAATATGGTGTCTGTTGGTTTTTGTTAATGAATGGGATTTATTGGTGTACACATAAATATAGTGTTTATTGTTCTTCATTGAAATATGGTGCTTGTTGTTCTCAATTGAAATATGGTGTTTTTTGGTCTCCATTGAAATGTATGTTTTTTGGTCTCCATTAAGATATGGTGGTTTTTGGTCTCCATGGAAATGTTGTTTGTTGGTCTCCATGGAAATGTGTTTGTTGGTCTCCATGGAAATGTTGTGTTTGTTGAGTCTTGGTTGCTATCTTTTACCACAGGGTCATATCTAGGTCATTTAACAAGACCTTATTACATTTCACATCTATTAGTGTGTACATGGTAAACTTTAAGGTGTTAGGCTGTCCCACAACCAGACTCTGATATATGTGTAATACACAATGCATTTCCTTTTTTCCAAATCATACAGGAAAAAGTCAAGAAGGAAAAACACAGTACAGCAAGTAGATATTTTAAACTGAAATCACCTAGAAAATTAAAATGTGACTTGCAATCTAAAATTATCATTAAATATGATTCTGTGGGAGAGTAATGATATAACAGTAGACACTTACAGTCTATTTCTGGCCTGTTCTACTTTGCCCTTTGAAGCTAAATCTGCTGTTTTCTGTGCTGCAGCTAGGCCCACTACCGCAACATTCATTTCCTGATGGTAAAATTAAACTTCATTGTATCAAACACTGACTAACACTGACTATCTAACACTGACCACTGACTATCTAACACTGACCACTGACTATCTAACTCTGACCACGGACTATCTAACACTGACCACTGACTATCTAACACTGACCACTGACTATCTAACTCTGACCACTGACTATCTAACTCTGACCACTGACTATCTAACTCTGACCACTGACTATCTAACACTGACCACTGACTATCTAACACTGACCACTGACTATCTAACACTGATCACTGACTATCTAACACTGACCACTGACTATCTAACACTGACCACTGACTATCTAACACTGACCACTGACTATCTAACACTGACTATCTAAAACTGACCACTGACTATCTAACACTGACCACTGACTATCTAACACTGACCACTGACTATCTAACACTGACCACTGACTATCTAACACTGACCACTGACTATCTAACACTGACCACTGACTATCTAACTCTGACCACTGACTATCTAACTCTGACTATCTAACACTGACCACTGACTATCTAACACTGACCACTGACTATCTAACTCTGACTATCTACCACTGACCACTGACTATCTAACTCTGACTATCTAACACTGACCACTGACTATCTAACACTGACCACTGACTATCTAACACTGACCACTGACTATCTAACACTGACCACTGACTATCTAACTCTGACCACTGACTATCTAACACTGACTATCTAACACTGACCACTGACTATCTAACACTGACCACTGACTATCTAACACTGACCACTGACTATCTAACACTGACCACTGACTATCTAACACTGACCACTGACTATCTAACACTGACCACTGACTATCTAACTCTGACCACTGACTATCTAACTCTGACCACTGACTATCTAACTCTGACTATCTAACACTGACCACTGACTATCTAACACTGACCACTGACTATCTAACACTGACCACTGACTATCTAACACTGACCACTGACTATCTAACACTGACCACTGACTATCTAACTCTGACTATCTAACACTGACCACTGACTATCTAACACTGACTATCTAACACTGACTATCTAACACTGACCACTGACTATCTAACACTGACCACTGACTATCTAACACTGACTATCTAACACTGACTATCTAACTCTGACCACTGACTATCTAACACTGACCACTGACTATCTAACACTGACCACTGACTATCTAACACTGACCACTGACTATCTAACACTGACCACTGACTATCTAACACTGACCACTGACTATCTAACACTGACCACTGACTATCTAACACTGACCACTGACTATCTAACACTGACTATCTAACACTGACCACTGACTATCTAACACTGACCACTGACTATCTAACACTGACTATCTAACTCTGACCACGGAATATCTAACACTGACCACTGACTATCTAACACTGACTATCTAACACTGACCACTGACTATCTAACACTGACCACTGACTATCTAACACTGACCACTGACTATCTAACACTGACTATCTAACTCTGACTATCTAACACTGACCACTGACTATCTAACACTGACCACTGACTATCTAACTCTGACTATCTAACACTGACTATCTAACACTGACTATATCTAACACTGACCACTGACTATCTAACACTGACCACTGACTATCTAACACTGACCACTGACTATCTAACACTGACCACTGACTATCTAACACTGACTATCTAACTCTGACCACTGACTATCTAACACTGACCACTGACTATCTAACACTGACCACTGACTATCTAACACTGACCACTGACTATCTAACACTGACTATCTAACACTGACCACTGACTATCTAACACTGACCACTGACTATCTAACACTGACCACTGACTATCTAACACTGACCACTGACTATCTAACACTGACCACTGACTATCTAACACTGACCACTGACTATCTAACACTGACCACTGACTATCTAACACTGACCACTGACTATCTAACACTGACCACTGACTATCTAACACTGACCACTGACTATCTAACACTGACCACTGACTATCTAACACTGACCACTGACTATCTAACACTGACCACTGACTATCTAACACTGACTATCTAACACTGACCACTGACTATCTAACACTGACTATCTAACTCTGACCACTGACTATCTAACACTGACCACTGACTATCTAACACTGACCACTGACTATCTAACACTGACCACTGACTATCTAACACTGACAATCTAACTCTGACCACTGACTATCTAACACTGACCACTGACTATCTAACACTGACCACTGACTATCTAACACTGACCACTGACTATCTAACACTGACCACTGACTATCTAACACTGACCACTGACTATCTAACACTGACAACAGACGACAGAACTCAGACTATCTAATACTGACCACTGACTATCTAACTCTGACCACTGACTATCTAACTCTGACCACCTAATTCTGACCACTGACTATCTAACTCTGACTATCTAACACTGACCACTGACTATCTAACACTGATCAATGACTATCTAACTCTGACCACTGACTATCTAACACTGACCACTGACTACCACTGACTATCTAACACTGACCACTGACTATCTAACACTGACCACTGACTATCTAACACTGACTATCTAACACTGACCACTGACTATCTAACACTGACCACTGACTATCTAACACTGACCACTGACTATCTAACACTGACCACTGACTATCTAACTGACCACTGACTATCTAACACTGACTATCTAACTGACTATCTAACACTGACCACTGACTATCTAACACTGACTATCTAACTCTGACCACTGACTATCTAACACTGACCACTGACTATCTAACACTGACCACTGACTATCTAACACTGACTATCTAACTCTGACCACTGACTATCTAACACTGACCACTGACTATCTAACACTGACCACTGACTATCTAACACTGACCACTGACTATCTAACACTGACCACTGACTACCATTGACTATCTAACACTGACCACTGACTACCACTGACTATCTAACACTGACCACTGACTATCTAACACTGACTATCTAACTCTGACTAACTGACTATCTAACACTGACTATCTAACACTGACCACTGACTATCTAACACTGATCAATGACTATCTAACTCTGACCACTGACTATCTAACACTGACCACTGACTACCATTGACTATCTAACACTGACCACTGACTACCACTGACTATCTAACACTGATCACTGACTATCTAACACTGACCACTGACTATCTAACTCTGACCACTGACTATCTAACACTGACTATCTAACACTGACCACTGACTATCTAACACTGACCACTGACTATCTAACACTGACCACTGACTATCTAACACTGACCACTGACTATCTACCACTGACCACGGACTATCTAACACTGACCACTGACTATCTAACTCTGACCACTGACTATCTAACTCTGACCACTGACTATCTAACACTGACTATCTAACACTGACCACTGACTATCTAACACTGACCACTGACTATCTAACTCTGACTATCTACCACTGACCACGGACTATCTAACACTGACCACTGACTATCTAACTCTGACCACTGACTATCTAACACTGACTATCTAACACTGACCACTGACTATCTAACACTGACCACTGACTATCTAACACTGACCACTGACTATCTAACACTGACCACTGACTATCTAACACTGACCACTGACTATCTAACTCTGACTATCTAACACTGACCACTGACTATCTAACACTGACCACTGACTATCTAACACTGACCACTGACTATCTAACACTGACCACTGACTATCTAACACTGACCACTGACTATCTAACACTGACCACTGACTATCTAACACTGACCACTGACTATCTAACACTGACCACTGACTATCTAACTCTGACCACTGACTATCTAACACTGACCACTGACTATCTAACATAGTTGTGATAATGACATATCTACATCATCTAAACAATGGCGTACAGATGGGAGATCTATATATAGATTTGATTATAAGGTTTTAGCCCTGAAAGACCCTTTGATTTTCAAGGGCTATCAGACCAGACATTAGATGACAAGAGATTAGTGACACTACAAACATGTAACTCACTTCCTCCATCTTTGCCCGATCCTTTGTCACTTTCATAGATTTGCTGATGACTCTCAACATTTTACGTCCATCTTTCAATGTAAAACTCACACGAACCTGGAATATAAAAAATAAAAAACAAATAAATAAAAAATACATGACTGAATAACTGGCGGGGTTCTGCTTACCATAACTAAATAATTCAACCAAAAACATCATAGCAGAGTTGTCTTCCTTGGTAAATAGAGCTTCGAATTGTTGACAGAAATGTGTGAACCGATCTCAATGTCAAGCTGTTATGATGGAAAACATTATATGTTTTTATTACATATATATCATAAATCAATTTTCTTTTCAATACCTAAAATCTTGCTACCTTAAATAATTTCACCATATTTTCTGGACTGCCAATCAGTTCTAACATATTTTGACAAAACTTTTGTCTTAAATTCAAAAACACATGGACACACTTGACTAGTGTTATCACCAATATTTACTACCTAGAAATCTAGAAAATAGTTTTCTTAAAATAAGACGACCAGCTTTCTAGTCAAGCAAACCTTCCACTGCCAAGAAATTGTGCAATACTGTTTATTTACAAATATACATCACAATAACGTCATCCAGAGGATAATTATATGGTACAAATATTTACTGATTTCAATTAGTTAAAAAATACATACACTGTATGTATTTATGTTAATGTTGCAAAAAACTGATAACTTACTACAGCCATTGAGAAAATCAGGAATTTTTAACAGCAATCATGTATCATTTAGAATGAAAAAAAAGTTAAAAAAGAAACAGGGTAATTCAAAAAAGTTTAAATACAAAAAGTGTCTTTTATTTCTTGAATGAGTAAAGTCTTGATAATTTTCCATTTGTGACCTCTCCCTTTGCAAGGCTTTCTCACTGATGAACGTCAGTGTTCTGGTGATGTTTATATAACACAAAATGGCTACTTTATAAACAGCAATGCTGGCTACAGTTCATAATTACCTGAAATGGAAGACTTTCCACATCAAGAGATTTGTCTTTTTTTTGTTTGAAAAAGAATGTCACATCTGTATCTCTAGTAGCATTTCCTACTTCTTTGACAATACGACTGCTTCCCTGTTATAATGAAATTCAGAACATAATGAATATCGTTGCCTAACTCACATTCATTTTTTTTATTTTAGAGACAATAAACATGAAGGTTACACAAATAAGAAAGAATCTGAGGCTTCAGTGTCTGTTTAAAACAAAATTCAATAGGTTGCATGTAGTGGTCATTCAGAAATTCCTAACTTCAGTTCCTAAAGATCATTTTAAACTTGTTTCATAATCCTTTTATACTTGAATGTGCAGAAAATGTTCATGTAACTTTGATATTTTTTCTAGTTCCTCATAACACAAACCTTTCAGAAACCTATTTAAGGTTATATACACACTTCCTTCAACTGCAGAAGTACTGGTGTAGCATCAAAGTATTACATCATTCCATGTTTTAATGCAGCAGTATAAAAAGTGTAAAGGGAGACAATCATATGATAAAATTGCCGTACAACATTTCATAACCAGTGTTTTCATCCTGAAATGTTTGAGGTTAAATAGAAAAATGATCCAAGTTGAAGTCAAATTTTCAGGGTAGAATGAAATGTTCGGGTTAGAATTGAATGTTTGGGGTTGAATTTAATGTTTGGGGTTGAATTTAATGTTTAGGGTTGAACAAATTCCTTACCCTTGGGTAGTCGTCATCATCCACTTCCAATTCAGGGTGAAGATGAAACACTACACATACAGCTGTTGCTACAATATAGTTTTGGGAAATTACTCGAAGCTGTCTCATGATCTCAAGAGGGTCTAGGACATCCACGTCACCACCAGAAATATTGGCACAAGGAGAAACGTTTTCTAAACCAACAGGTTCTCCATCAATAGCCAGGATAGACACAACAATTCCATTGTCCTTAGCATAGTTCCCCACCTAAAAAAGTCAACAGTTTTATCTGTGAAACAGTTGCTTACAAATCGTCAACAGTTTTATCTGTGAAACAGTTACCTACAAAAAGTCAACAGTTTTATCTGTGAAACAGTTACCTACAAAAGTCAACAGTTTTATCCGTGAAACATTTACCTACAAAAATTCAATAGTTTTATCTGTGAAACAGTTACCTACAAAAGTCAACAGTTTTATCTGTGAAACAGTTACCTACAAAAAGTCAACAGTTTTATCTGTGAAACATTTACCTACAAAAATTCAACAGTTTTATCTGTGAAACAGTTACCTACAAAAGTCAACAGTTTTATCCGTGAAACATTTACCTACAAAAAGCCAAAAATTTTATCTGTGAAACAGTTACCTACAAAAAGTCAACAGTTTTATCTGTGAAACAGTTACCCACAAATAAACCCTGATATTTTCTGTGAAAAAATTACCTACAGTAATTAGTAGTATTATCTGTGAATTAGTCATCTACAAGTTAACTCAATATAAACACCTGTATTACCTAATTTAAAACTCTTAAGTTTAAATTTCTTACCATGGTATAGTAATCCTTACAACTGGAGTCTGAGTTGTTCATTCGCCCAACACCACAGTTTGGAGCCCCATCTGTACACAAGATTACCTCTGAACCTTGAGTTCCGGTCATCATGCCAATGGCTGTTGCCAGTGCTGGTCCAAGGGCTGTCGTGTCTTTGGTTTGCATGCCTTCAATTCTCCCTGTAATGTCACTGTACAGAAAAAAAAACAGATACAAAATATTTTCTGTTGTACTTGGTAATAAAAATCATACAATTATATTCCAAGATACCAAACCCAGTGATATCTTGATATTCCAGTGTATTGCTATATTCTCCAAGATAGGTACATGAAAGGTAGCTCAGAAAAATACACAGGTTTTATACTATTCCCTTTAATATCACGAATGTTCCTTTAATATCACAAATGTTCCTTTAATAACAAATGTTCCTTTAATATTTTTTTTCCTTTGATATCACAAAATGTCTTTTAATATCGCAAATGTTCCCTACATATCAAAAATGTTCCTTTGATATTACAATGTTCCTTTAATATCACAAACGTTCCTTTAATATCACAAATGTTCCTTTGATATTACAAGTGTTCCTTTAATATCACAAACATTCCTTTAATATCACAAATGTTCCTTTAATATCGCAAATGTTCCTTTGATATTACAATGTTCCTTTAATATCACAAACATTCCTTTAATATCACAAATGTTCCTTTGATATTACAAGTGTTCCTTTAATATCACAAACATTCCTTTAATATCACAAACATTCCTTTAATATCACAAATGTTCCTTTGATATCACAAATGTTCCTTTAATATCGCAAATGTTCCTTTGATATTACAAATGTTCCTTTGATATTACAATGTTCCTTTAATATCGCAAATGTTCCTTTAATGTTAAATTTTTTCCTTTAATATCACAAACATTCCTTTAATATCACAAACATTCCTTTAATATCGCAAATGTTCCTTAAATATCACAAGTGTTCCTTTCATATTGCAAATGTTCCTTAAATATCAAACTAGTAGCTGGTACATGTTTTTGCTGTCATGTTCAACTGTAACCTGTATGTACCTTTAATATTGCAAATGTTTCAAAGGGCAACTGTGTTACAGTTGAACATGACAGCAAAAACATGTACCAGCTACTAGTTGTTCTTGTTTTAAGTAGGCTTTACCGTTATCATATTTTCTACGTGTGTATCAAATTTTTCAGAAAAAGAAATTGCCATTAATGAAGATTTAAAGTGATGGTCCCTCTTTAACAAAATATAAAACAAACTAATAAAGCTTCTCCTTAATTCCTGTCTTACTGTATTATGGTAAATCTTTCTTTATAAGAAAGTTTGTAATTGTAGAAATATTAATGACTTTTGTCTTTTAAACAGATACACATATTCCATCACATACTATGTCATTTCTCAAAGTATATATTGACCAGATTCAACTGTTTCTACCTCCAGTGTATGAAATTCAAAGAAGGGAAATAACTCCTCTGTATTTGTGATAACTTTGCTAATTGCAATTTTCCCCATAATATGAAAATCACACACCGGGACAATTGTGAAATTGACTCCCTTTTACATTACAGATATACCCATTCTTTTCATAGAAATAAGAAATAACTAGAAAAATGTTCAACAGAATCTCACAACCTTAAACAAAAATAGCTCAGAATAACAAGATTGGAAGCAAGAAAGTGACAATCCTATTTTGAAAATTTCACTTTTTTACTTTCAATAAGAAATAATACTTAAATGTCTAATCCATCTCTTTCCTTTTCGATTTAGAATTTCAAGATATAGCCTTTTAATCCTTATATAGCATCTATAACAGAAATCAAATATGATTTTATCTATAATATTTTTGTATCAACTTGGTACTAAAATCAATGTTAAGCTACATACGCATTTGAAGAACTTTGACCCTAATTGATCTGTTTCTTAACATTCAGGTTTGTTTAAATACTTACTCATAGCTTTCTCCCAAGGTACGAATGTCCATCTGCTGGGCATACTGTTGACCGCACTGTACAAGACGGTCAAATGAGTCCCTGATATGACTTTCAACTTGGTAGGATTCCTGGCTACCATCCCCTAAGATGGTCACATCAGTGGCAAACTGTACAAGTATGACTCGTCTGTCAGGGTTTTCCAGCTTCAGTCGCTCAAGTTGTCTAAATGACCATTGCAATATCTTACAATACATTGACAAAACAATTATCATTTTCTTTCAATAAACATTTGTACAAGGTAGATTTATCATTAGATGAAGAAAAATTGGAAAAAAATGTCAATTGAATCAAAATTAATTTCATTTCAATCTTGATTTTCTATGCAATGTCAATTATATGAGCTATAAATGACATAGAATAAGAAGTTTATGGTTTATTTTGACATTTAGTAATCATAATTTATTTCCACAGGAGTTTGATTTTTGTTGATTTTGTTGGTACTTTAAATCCATGAATTTGTTTATCATTGAAAAGATTATTGATGATTAAACACTAACGTGAATTTATGGTACTCCTGGCGTAAGTGTGTACTGGTTATCACCAGAATAAAGTATAATTGAAACAAAACTTTCAAAAAATAAATTGTCCTTACGAATATATCTGATTTTTAACGTATACCCATTCCTAATGTTAAAGAATATGACTAAATGAGTGTTCTCCAGTCAGAAAACATTCACAAGGCTTTATTATTTACATTCTGAATATCAAGAGAGACATGTTACGACTGACAGTTCTGAAACATTGAGGCATCTTCAGAAAGTAAATGAATTTCTATGTTGATAATTTACTGATGGTAATTTTCTATATCTTGTCTAGAGAAATCTGTTCCTTTGGAAGTACTCACCTTTTCAGGGCCTCCTTAATGGCCGCTAATCTTGATACTTGAGTGTCAAAGTTTGATGATCTGTCTCTGGATTTCTTCCATGCCACTACAAACATAGGGCATATCCTTACTAATAACTCTTCATATAAGGATTTAAGGGAACAATCATTTGCAAAATGTGAAAATCTCATTTCTTGGATAAAGATGTGAATATTGAACTAATTGTTCTTAACTGTGATTAACTTCAGGGAATTCTAAGTCAAGGGTGTGTAAGTTTCACTGAATTCCATAAAACCTGATCAGAAGTGTGATTAACTTCAGGGAATTCTAAGTCAAGGGTGTGTAAGTTTCACTGAATTCCATAAAACCTGATCAGAAGTGTGATTAACTTCAGGGAATTCTAAGTCAAGGGTGTGTAAGTTTCACTGAATTCCATAAAACCTGATCAGAAGTGTGATTAACTTCAGGGAATTTTAAGTCAAGGGTGTGTAAGTTTCACTGAATTCCATAAAACCTGATCAGAAGTGTGATTAACTTCAGGGAATTCTAAGTCAAGGGTGTGTAAGTTTCACTGAATTCCATAAAACCTGATCAGAAGTGTGATTAACTTCAGGGAATTCTAAGTCAAGGGTGTGTAAGTTTCACTGAATTCCATAAAACCTGATCAGAAGTGTGATTAACTTCAGGGAATTTTAAGTCAAGGGTGTGTAAGTTTCACTGAATTCCATAAAACCTGATCAGAAGTGTGATTAACTTCAGGGAATTCTAAGTCAAGGGTGTGTAAGTTTCACTGAATTCCATAAAACCTGATCAGAAGTGTGATTAACTTCAGGGAATTCTAAGTCAAGGGTGTGTAAGTTTCACTGAATTCCATAAAACCTGATCAGAAGTGTGATTAACTTCAGGGAATTTTAAGTCAAGGGTGTGTAAGTTTCACTGAATTCCATAAAACCTGATCAGAAGTGTGATTAACTTCAGGGAATTCTAAGTCAAGGGTGTGTAAGTTTCACTGAATTCCATAAAACCTGATCAGAAGTGTGATTAACTTCAGGGAATTTTAAGTCAAGGGTGTGTAAGTTTCACTGAATTCCATAAAACCTGATCAGAAGTGTGATTAACTTCAGGGAATTCTAAGTCAAGGGTGTGTAAGTTTCACTGAATTCCATAAAACCTGATCAGAAGTGTGATTAACTTCAGGGAATTCTAAGTCAAGGGTGTGTAAGTTTCACTGAATTCCATAAAACCTGATCAGAAGTGTGATTAACTTCAGGGAATTCTAAGTCAAGTGTAAGTGTGTAGAGTTTCACTGAATTCCATAAAACCTGATCAGAAGTGTGATTAACTTCAGGGAATTCTAAGTCAAGGGTGTGTAAGTTTCACTGAATTCCATAAAACCTGATCAGAAGTGTGATTAACTTCAGGGAATTCTAAGTCAAGGGTGTGTAAGTTTCACTGAATTCCATAAAACCTGATCAGAAGTGTGATTAACTTCAGGGAATTCTAAGTCAAGGGTGTGTAAGTTTCACTGAATTCCATAAAACCTGATCAGAAGTGTGATTAACTTCAGGGAATTCTAAGTCAAGGGTGTGTAAGTTTCACTGAATTCCATAAAACCTGATCAGAAGTGTGATTAACTTCAGGGAATTCTAAGTCAAGGGTGTGTAAGTTTCACTGAAGCAGAGAATATCAGTAGTTTGAGAGTGCAGAGAATATCAGTAGTTTGAGAGTGCAGTGAATATCAGTAGTTTGAGAGTGGTGCAGAGAATATCAGAAGTTTGAGAGTGCAGAGAATATCAGAAGTTTGAGAGTGCAGAGAATATCAGTAGTTTGAGAGTGCAGAGAATATCAGTAGTTTGAGAGTGCAGAGAATATCAGTAGTTTGAGAGTGCAGAGAATATCAGAAGTTTGAGAGTGGTGCAGAGAATATCAGTAGTTTGAGAGTGCAGAGAATATCAGTAGTTTGAGAGTGCAGAGAATATCAGTAGTTTGAGAGTGCAGAGAATATCAGTAGTTTGAGAGTGCAGAGAATATCAGTAGTTTGAGAGTGCAGAGAATATCAGTTGTTTGAGAGTGCAGAGAATATCAGTAGTTTGAGAGTGCAGAGAATATCAGTAGTTTGAGAGTGCAGAGAATATCAGTAGTTTGAGAGTGGTGCAGAGAATATCAGTAGTCTGAGAGTGCAGAGAATATCAGTAGTATGAGAGTGATGCAGAGAATATCAGTAGTTTGAGAGTGCAGAGAATATCAGTAGTTTGAGCGTGGTGCAGAGAATATCAGTAGTTTGAGAGTGCAGAGAATATCAGTAGTTTGAGCATGGTGAAGATAATATCAGTAGTTTGAGAGTGCAGAGAATATCAGTAGTTTGATAGTGGTGCAGAGAATATCAGTAGTTTGAGAGTGCAGAGAATATCAGTAGTAGTTTGAGAGTGCAGAGAATATCAGTAGTTTGAGAGTGCAGAGAATATCAGTAGTTTGAGAGTGGTGCAGAGAATATCAGTAGTTTGAGAGTGCAGAGAATATCAGTAGTTTGAGAGTGCAGAGAATATCAGTAGTTTGAGAGTGCAGAGAATATCAGTAGTTTGAGAGTGCAGAGAATATCAGTAGTTTGAGAGTGGTGCAGAGAATATCAGTAGTCTGAGAGTGCAGAGAATATCAGTAGTGTGAGAGTGCAGAGAATATCAGTAGTTTGAGAGTGCAGAGAATATCAGTAGTATGAGAGTGCAGAGAATATCAGTAGTTTGAGAGTGCAGAGAATATCAGTAGTTTGAGAGTGCAGAGAATATCAGTAGTTTGAGAGTGCAGAGAATATCAGTAGTTTGAGAGTGGTGCAGAGAATATCAGTAGTTTGAGAGTGGTGCAGAGAATATCAGTAGTCTGAGAGTGCAGAGAATATCAGTAGTATGAGAGTGCAGAGAATATCAGTAGTTTGAGAGTGCAGAGAATATCAGTAGTTTGAGAGTGCAGAGAATATCAGTAGTTTGAGAGTGCAGAGAATATCAGAGGTTTGAGAGTGCAGAGAATATCAGTAGTATGAGAGTGCAGATAATATCAGTAGTATGAGAGTGGTGCAGAGAATATCAGTAGTTTGAGAGTGATGCAGAGAATATCAGTAGTTTGAGGGTGCAGAGAATATCAGTAGTTTGAGAGTGCAGAGAATATCAGTAGTTTGAGAGTGCAGAGAATATCAGTAGTTTGAGAGTGCAGAGAATAAAAGAGGGTTAAGAGTGCAGAGAATATCAGTAGTTTGAGAGTGCAGAGAATATCAGTAGTTTGAGAGTGCAGAGAATATCAGTAGTTTGAGAGTGCAGAGAATATCAGTAGTTTGAGAGTGGTGCAGAGAATATCAGTAGTTTGAGAGTGCAGAGAATATCAGTAGTTTGAGAGTGCAGAGAATATCAGTAGTTTGAGAGTGCAGAGAATATCAGTAGTTTGAGAGTGCAGTGAATATCAGTAGTTTGAGAGTGGTGCAGAGAATATCAGAAGTTTGAGAGTGCAGAGAATATCAGTAGTTTGAGAGTGCAGAGAATATCAGTAGTTTGAGAGTGCAGAGAATATCAGTAGTTTGAGAGTGCAGAGAATATCAGAGGTTTGAGAGTGCAGAGAATATCAGTAGTATGAGAGTGCAGATAATATCAGTAGTATGAGAGTGCAGAGAATATCAGTTGTTTGAGAGTGCAGAGAATATCAGTAGTTTGAGAGTGCAGAGAATATCAGTAGTTTGAGAGTGCAGAGAATATCTGTAGTTTGATAGTGGTGCAGAGAATATCAGTAGTTTGATAGTGCAGAGAATATCAGTAGTGGGAGAGTGCAGAGAATATCAGTAGTTTGAGAGTGCAGAGAATATCAGTAGTTTGAGAGTGCAGTGAATATCAGTAGGTGCAGAGAATATCAGTAGTTTGATAGTGCAGAGAATATCAGTAGTGGGAGAGTGCAGAGAATATCAGTAGTTTGAGAGTGCAGAGAATATCAGTAGTTTGAGAGTGCAGAGAATATCAGTAGTTTGAGAGTGCAGAGAATATCAGTAGTTTGAGAGTGCAGAGAATATCAGAAGTTTGAGAGTGCAGAGAATATCAGTAGTATGAGAGTGGTGCAGAGAATATCAGTAGTATGAGAGTGCAGAGAATATCAGTTGTTTGAGAGTGCAGAGAATATCAGTAGTTTGAGAGTGCAGAGAATATCAGTAGTTTGAGAGTGCAGAGAATATCAGTAGTTTGAGAGTGCAGAGAATATCAGTAGTTTGAGAGTGCAGAGAATATCAGTAGTTTGAGAGTGCAGAGAATATCAGTAGTTTGAGAGTGCAGAGAATATCAGAAGTTTGAGAGTGCAGAGAATATCAGAAGTTTGAGAGTGCAGAGAATATCAGAAGTTTGAGAGTGCAGAGAATATCAGTAGTTTGAGGGTGCAGAGATTATCAGTAGTTTGAGAGTGCAGAGAATATCAGTAGTTTGAGAGTGCAGAGAATATCTGTAGTTTGAGAGTGCAGAGAATATCAGTAGTTTGAGAGTGCAGAGAATATCAGTAGTTTGAGAGTGCAGAGAATATCAGTAGTTTGAGAGTGCAGAGAATATCAGTAGTTTGAGAGTGCAGAGAATATCAGTAGTTTGAGAGTGCAGAGAATATCAGTAGTTTGAGAGTGCAGAGAATATCAGTAGTTTGAGAGTGCAGAGAATATCTGTAGTTTGAGAGTGCAGAGAATATCAGTAGTTTGAGAGTGCAGAGAATATCAGTAGTTTGAGAGTGCAGAGAATATCAGTAGTTTGAGAGTGCAGAGAATATCTGTAGTTTGAGAGTGCAGAGAATATCAGTAGTTTGAGAGTGCAGAGAATATCTGTGTTTGAGAGTGCAGAGAATATCTGTAGTGGTGCAGAGAATATCAGTAGTTTGATAGTGCAGAGAATATCAGTAGTTTGAGAGTGCAGAGAATATCAGTAGTTTGAGAGTGGTGCAGAGAATATCAGTAGTTTGAGAGTGCAGAGAATATCAGTAGTTTGAGAGTGCAGAGAATATCAGTAGTTTGAGAGTGCAGAGAATATCAGTAGTTTGAGAGTGCAGAGAATATCAGTAGTTTGAGAGTGCAGAGAATATCAGTAGTTTGAGAGTGCAGAGAATATCAGTAGTTTGAGAGTGCAGAGAATATCAGTAGTTTGAGAGTGCAGAGAATATCAGTAGTTTGAGAGTGCAGAGAATATCAGTAGTTTGAGAGTGCAGAGAATATCAGTAGTTTGAGAGTGCAGAGAATATCAGAGAGTTTGAGAATATCAGTAGTTTGAGAGTGCAGAGAATATCAGTAGTTTGAGAGTGCAGAGAATATCAGTAGTTTGAGAGTGCAGAGAATATCAGTAGTTTGAGAGTGCAGAGAATATCAGTAGTATGAGAGTGATGCAGAGAATATCAGTAGTTTGAGGGTGCAGAGATTATCAGTAGTTTGAGAGTGCAGAGAATATCAGTAGTTTGAGAGTGCAGAGAATATCTGTAGTTTGAGGGTGCAGAGAATATCAGTAGTTTGAGAGTGCAGAGAATATCAGAAGTTTGAGAGTGCAGAGAATATCAGTAGTTTGAGAGTGCAGAGAATATCAGTTGTTTGAGAGTGCAGAGAATATCAGTAGTTTGAGAGTGCAGAGAATATCAGTAGTTTGAGAGTGCAGAGAATATCAGTAGTTTGAGAGTGCAGAGAATATCAGTAGTTTGAGAGTGCAGAGAATATCAGTAGTTTGAGAGTGCAGAGAATATCAGTAGTTTGAGAGTGCAGAGAATATCAGTAGTTTGAGAGTGCAGAGAATATCAGTAGTTTGAGAGTGCAGAGAATATCAGTTGTTTGAGAGTGCAGAGAATATCAGTAGTTTGAGAGTGCAGAGAATATCAGTAGTTTGAGAGTGCAGAGAATATCAGTAGTTTGAGAGTGGTGCAGAGAATATCAGTAGTCTGAGAGTGCAGAGAATATCAGTAGTTTGAGAGTGCAGAGAATATCAGTAGTTTGAGAGTGCAGAGAATATCAGTAGTTTGAGAGTGGTGCAGAGAATATCAGTAGTTTGAGAGTGCAGAGAATATCAGTAGTTTGAGAGTGCAGAGAATATCAGTAGTTTGAGAGTGCAGAGAATATCAGTAGTTTGAGAGTGCAGAGAATATCAGTAGTTTGAGAGTGGTGCAGAGAATATCAGTAGTTTGAGAGTGCAGAGAATATCAGTAGTTTGAGAGTGCAGAGAATATCAGTAGTTTGAGAGTGGTGCAGAGAATATCAGTAGTTTGAGAGTGCAGAGAATATCAGTAGTTTGAGAGTGCAGAGAATATCAGTAGTTTGAGAGTGCAGAGAATATCAGTAGTTTGAGAGTGGTGCAGAGAATATCAGTAGTGTGAGAGTGCAGAGAATATCAGTAGTTTGAGAGTGGTGCAGAGAATATCAGTAGTTTGAGAGTGCAGAGAATATCAGTAGTTTGAGAGTGCAGAGAATATCAGTAGTTTGAGAGTGCAGAGAATATCAGTAGTTTGAGAGTGCAGAGAATATCAGTAGTTTGAGAGTGGTGCAGAGAATATCAGTAGTGTGAGAGTGCAGAGAATATCAGTAGTTTGAGAGTGCAGAGAATATCAGTAGTTTGAGAGTGCAGAGAATATCAGTAGTTTGAGAGTGCAGAGAATATCAGTAGTTTGAGAGTGCAGAGAATATCAGTAGTTTGAGAGTGCAGAGAATATCAGTAGTTTGAGAGTGCATAGAATATCAGTAGTTTGAGAGTGCAGAGAATATCAGTAGTTTGAGAGTGCAGAGAATATCAGTAGTTTGAGAGTGCAGAGAATATCAGTAGTTTGAGAGTGCAGAGAATATCAGTAGTTTGAGAGTGCAGAGAATATCAGTAGTTCAGTGAGAGTGAGAGTGCAGAGAATATCAGTAGTTTGAGAACGCAGAGAATATCAGTTGTTTGAGAGTGCAGAGAATATCAGTAGTTTGAGAGTGCAGAGAATATCAGTAGTTTGAGAGTGCAGAGAATATCAGTAGTTTGAGAGTGGTGCAGAGAATATCAGTAGTCTGAGAGTGCAGAGAATATCAGTAGTTGGAGAGTGCAGAGAATATCAGTAGTTTGAGAGTGCAGAGAATATCAGTAGTTTGAAAGTGCAGAGAATATCAGTAGTTTGAGAGTGCAGAGAATATCAGTAGTTTGAGAGTGCAGAGAATATCAGTAGTTTGAGAGTGCAGAGAATATCAGTAGTTTGAGAGTGCAGAGAATATCAGTAGTTTGAGAGTGCAGAGAATATCAGTAGTCTGAGAGTGGTGCAGAGAATATCTGTAGTATGAGAGTGCAGAGAATATCAGTAGTTTGAGAGTGCAGAGAATATCAGTAGTTTGAGAGTGCAGAGAATATCAGTAGTTTGAGAGTGCAGAGAATATCAGTAGTTTGAGGGTGCAGAGAATATCAGTAGTTTGAGAGTGCAGAGAATATCTGTAGTTTGAGAGTGTAGAGTTTGAGAGTGCAGAGAATATCTGTAGTTTGAGAGTGCAGAGAATATCAGTAGTTTGAGAGTGCAGAGAATATCAGAGAATATCTGTAGTTTTTAGATATTGGGTCTCATCCACAAAAAGGCCAAAAAGGCCATAAAAGTGGATGTAAAACCTGTTTTTTCTGCATGAATAAGGTACATGTATTTGAATCAAAATTTTCAGAAGTATAAAAGCCACTTGGTTTGAGTAGATGTGCAAACAATCTGCAAATATGTGTCAGAAAAAATGAAATAAAAAATTCAGTAAGAATAAGTGTTGTACTTGTTTCTTAAGCAGTCAGTATGTACCATTTCCATGTCAGATTTTCTTCCTCCTGTACGGTATCTGAGATCGAGGAAAGGACAGCATCACAGTTCTCGCTTCCACATCGGACAGGGTCACCTGTGGCTGTGGACAGAGGGTCATCCAACGTTTTGAGGGAAACAAGTACAACATTACTGGTGGCCTTCTCACATTTCTTAGGCTCCTCGGAGGCGGAGTTACCAGCAACACGAGGGAGTAGGGGCGCTGTCCGCTGGACAGGAGCTGAAGTCACCCTTTGCTGTTTTTCAGAGCCAGACTTCTTGTTAAAACTGAGCAGACGCCTCATGTGAGAAAATATTCCTGTATTCTCTTTACTGCCACTTGCAGTGGTGAACACATTAGACTGGGCATCACCGACAGCTCCTGCGACATTAGACACAGGATCGACAGAAGATCCCCTGTTAGACCGAGACTTTTTATCTGAAAGGTTCAATTAAAATATTTAGGAACTTGTTCAGTGTTATTTCAAATGCTGACAACAATAGTCTGTATGAAGAGTTTCACATTTTGCATCAGTTCATTAATTTTGTGATAACAATTACGTACAATCTTACCAAAATATAAATTTTTGGAGTATTCAATGATCTTTTATTTCATACATTACTTGTTTAAAGTCATTTTACTTATGAATAATTAAATATATTTTAACTTACAATGCAAAGACTGACTAAAATATTTTGAAAATGTCACTATTTACAGTGTGAACAAGTAAGAGAGTCACAATTATGTAACTTTCTCACATTGGAAGCCAATTATAATTGTTTACGATAAAGACTTGATCATCATACAACTGCCAGTATTAAAAGATCTGGAAATGTAAAAAGGATCAATTAACTCTGCGTGATGTAGACAGAAAAATCACAACCTTCTGGATAAGATTTTTAAAGATCAACACGAAGCAAAGCCTCATGATAACTCTAAATATTTTATCTGTTTGTTTAGCAATCTTTGTCTTATATAACATGAAGGTGAAGGGTCAAAGGTGAAGGGTCCTGTAAGTAGAGATATGAATATAAAAACAATTTTAGAAAACATCAGAATATTTTGTGAATTCATGGCTTAAAATCACCCAATTTCATTTGATCAAAGAGTGGATAGCACACTTCCCAACCTTCTCATCAATAGATGTGAATTAATCTGTAGTGTAAGTGCGATTCTCGGCAAAAGAACCCTCCTTCACCTACAATGATGTCATCAGTTATGTTGAAGTTACCATATTTTACTAATATACTTCTAATTTTGTTGTAGAAATGACCTTGACCTTATATGATTCCGAATTAAGACCTTAAATGACCTAATTTGTTCAGTGTCCACTTAAAGTTCAGTAATGTTCTTGCCTTATTTTAATTCGTGCTGTCATGTTGCAGTAATGACCTTGACCTACATTGATACAAACCTGTTCCAGCAAGCCTGTGTTTTTCTCTGAGGCCTGGGATTGTGACATTTTTTCTGTACGAATCTTCAATAGTCGGGTCATAACAGTCCACAAACGTATTGGTGGTATATCTGACAGTAACGGCCGATTTGCCCACTGCTCCACTCCCCAAGATGACCACCTGATGAACAAGATGACTACAATGATCTCCAGTATTTAAGCTACAATAAGCCAATTGGGACTACATTACAATGTACTTCTGATTCAAAGTTAGGGAGTGGGATTATTTCAAGACACTGAAATAGTGTTTGTTAGTTGGTAATTGCTACTTAACAACAATAGATATGGGTGGGTTTATTACCAGACATGGGCTTATTACCTGGCATGGTCTTACCAGATAAATATAGGAAAAGAATCAAAATATCTTTAAACTTTCTTTCAGCTGTCCCCAAACCAATGTTTTACTGTAAGGTTTTTATACACAAATGTATTGCAAAATTTCACATCAGTTAGTAAACACATTTTAAGACTTAAGTATAACATATATATACATATTTTCTACTCAGAACTATTATACAATATCTATTATAGTGGAGAACTTTTATTTTGGCATTGTTTATATGTCTGTTGGTGTGGCAATACACATTATACAAGAAGGATATATCTGTTGGTGTGGCAATACACATTATACAAGGAGGATATATCTGTTGGTGTAGCAGTACACATTATACAAGAAGGATATATCTGTTGGTGTGGCAGTACACATTATACAAGGAGGATATATCTGTTGGTGTGGCAGTACACATTATACGAGAAGGATATATCTGTTGGTGTGGCAGTACACATTATACAAGGAGGTGGTGTGGCATACACATTAGATATATCTGTTGGTGTGGCAGTACACATTATGTGAGGAGGATATATCTGTTGGTGTGGCAATACACATTATACAAGGAGGATATATCTGTTGGTGTGGCAGTACACATTATACAAGGAGGATATATCTGTTGGTGTGGCAGTACACATTATACAAGGAGGATATATCTGTTGGTGTGGCAGTACACATTATGTGAGGAAGGATATATCTGGATATATATATCTGTTGGTGTGGCAGTACACATTATGTGAGGAGGATATATCTGGAGGATATATCTGTTGGTGTGGCAGTACACATTATACAAGGAGGATATATCTGTTGGTGTGGCAGTACACATTATACAAGGAGGATATATCTGTTGGTGTGGCAGTACACATTATGTGAGGAGGATATATATCACATGGGTGTGGCATACACATTATCTGTTGGTGTGGCAGTACACATTATGTGACTGTTGGTGTGGCAGTACACATTATGGAGGATATATCTGTTGGTGTGGCAGTACACATTATACAGGATATATCTGTTGGTGTGGCAGGATATATCTGTTGGTGTGGCAGTACACATTATGTGAGGAGGATATATCTGTTGGTGTGGCAGTACACATTATGTGAGGGCATAAAACAGTATGAGATGCAGTCACACATTATGTGAGGAGGATATATCTGTTGGTGTGGCAGTACACATACGAGGAGGATATATCTGTTGGTGTGGCAGTACACATTATGTGAGGAGGATATATCTGTTGGTGTGGCAGTACACATTATGTGAGGAGGATATATCTGTTGGTGTGGCAGTACACATTATGTGAGGAGGATATATCTGTTGGTGATATATCTGTTGGTGTGGCAGTACACATTATGTGAGGAGGATATATCTGTTGGGCAGTACACATTATGTGAGGAGGATATATCTGTGGTGTGGCAGTACATATATATCTGTTGGTGTGGCAGTACACATTATGTGAGGAGGATATATCTGTTGGTGTGGCAGTACACATTATGTGAGGAGGATATATCTGTTGGTGTGGCAGTACACATTATGTGAGGAGGATATATCTGTTGGTGTGGCAGTACACATTATGTGAGGAGGATATATCTGTTGGTGTGGCAGTACACATTATGTGAGGAGGATATATCTGTTGGTGTGGCAGTACACATTATACAAGAAGGATATATCTGTTGGTGTGGCAGTACACATTATACGAGGAGGATATATCTGTTGGTGTGGCAGTACACATTATGTGAGGAGGATATATCTGTTGGTGTGGCAGTACACATTATGTGAGGAGGATATATCTGTTGGTGTGGCAGTACACATTATGTGAGGAGGATATATCTGTTGGTGTGGCAGTACACATTATGTGAGGAGGATATATCTGTTGGTGTGGCAGTACACATTATACAGTACACATTATGTGAGGAGGATATATCTGTTGGTGTGGCAGTACACATTATACGAGGAGGATATATCTGTTGGTGTGGCAGTACACATTATACAAGGGATATATCTGTTGGTGTGGCAGTACACATTATGTGAGGAGGATATATCTGTTGGTGTGGCAGTACACATTATGTGAGGAGGATATATCTGTTGGTGTGGCAATACACATTATGTGAGGTGGATATATCTGTTGGTGTGGCAGTACACATTATGTGAGGAGGATATATCTGTTGGTGTGGCAATACACATTATACAAGGAGGATATATCTGTTGGTGTGGCAGTACACATTATGTGAGGAGGATATATCTGTTGGTGTGGCAGTACACATTATGTGAGGAGGATATATCTGTTGGTGTGGCAGTACACATTATGTGAGGAGGATATATCTGTTGGTGTGGCAGTACACATTATGTGAGTTGGTGTGGCAGTACACATTATGTGATATATCTGTTGGTGTGGCATACACATTATGTGTTATCTGTTGGTGTGGCAGTACACATTATGTGAGGAGGATATATCTGTTGGTGTGGCAATACACATTATACAAGGAGGATATATCTGTTGGTGTAGCAGTACACATTATACAAGGAGGATATATCTGTTGGTGTGGCAGTACACATTATGTGAGGAGGATATATCTGTTGGTGTGGCAGTACACATTATGTGATATATCTGTTGGTGTGGCAGTACACATTATATCTGTTGGTGTGGCAGAGGAGGATATATCTGTTGGTGTGGCAAAACACATTATGTGAGGAGTATATATCTGTAAGTGTGGCATAACACATTATGTGAGGAGGATATATCTGTTGGTGTGGCAGTACACATTATACAGGAGGATATATCTGGATATATATATCTGTTGGTGTGGCAGTACACATTATGTGAGGAGGATATATCTGTTGGTGTGGCAGTACACATTATGTGAGGAGGATATATCTGTTGGTGTGGCAGTACACATTATGTGAGGAGGATATATCTGTTGGTGTGGCAGTACACATTATGTGAGGAGGATATATCTGTTGGTGTGGCAGTACACATTATGTGAGGAGGATATATCTGTTGGTGTGGCAGTACACATTATGTGAGGAGGATATATCTGTTGGTGTGGCAGTACACATTATACGAGGAGGATATATCTGTTGGTGTGGCAGTACACATTATACGAGGAGGATATATCTGTTGGTGTGGCAGTACACATTATACAAGGAGGATATATCTGTTGGTGTGGCAGTACACATTATGTGAGGAGGATATATCTGTTGGTGTGGCAGTACACATTATGTGAGGAGGATATATCTGTTGGTGTGGCAGTACACATTATACAAGGAGGATATATCTGTTGGTGTGGCAGTACACATTATACGAGAAGGATATATCTGTTGGTGTGGCAGTACACATTATACAAGGAGGATATATCTGTTGGTGTGGCAGTACACATTATACAAGGAGGATATATCTGTTGGTGTGGCAGTACACATTATACAAGGAGGATATATCTGTTGGTGTGGCAGTACACATTATGTGAGGAGGATATATCTGTTGGTGTGGCAGTACACATTATACGAGGAGGATATATCTGTTGGTGTGGCAGTACACATTATGTGAGGAGGATATATCTGTTGGTGTGGCAGTACACATTATACGAGAAGGATATATCTGTTGGTGTGGCAGTACACATTATGTGAGGAGGATATATCTGTTGGTGTGGCAGTACACATTATGTGAGGAGGATATATCTGTTGGTGTGGCAGTACACATAATACGAGGAAATAACAGATCGAGTGTCAGAACACATAAAAGTATGAGGAAATATCTGTTGGTGTGGCAGTACACATACGAGGAGGATATATCTGTTGGTGTGGCAGTACACATTATGTGAGGAGGATATATCTGTTGGTGTGGCAGTACACATTATGTGAGGAGAGGATATATCTGTTGGTGTGGCAGTACACATTATGTGAGGAGGATATATCTGTTGGTGTGGCAGTACACATTATGTGAGGAGGATATATCTGTTGGTGTGGCAGTACACATTATGTGAGGAGGATATATCTGTTGGTGTGGCAGTACACATACGAGGAGGATATAACTGTTGGTGTGGCAGTACACATTATGTGAGGAGGATATATCTGTTGGTGTGGCAGTACACATTATGTGAGGAGGATATATCTGTTGGTGTGGCAGTACACATTATGTGAGGAGGATATATCTGTTATATCTGGTGTGGCAGTACACATTATGTGAGGAGGATATATCTGTTGGTGTGGCAGTACACATTATACGAGGAGGATATATCTGTTGGTGTGGCAGTACACATTATGTGAGGAGGATATATCTGTTGGTGTGGCAGTACACATTATGTGAGCTGAGGTCAGCTAGCTGGGAAACATATGCTTTATATTGAAAAATAAAGTGTATTGAGGTTGTCTCCCTTTGTCACTTTCAAAAATCATGTTCAATCAAGGTCTTGTTTCTAATTTCAGATTTAGAAAAGACATGAAAAAACATTTCTGCATGTGATGCCCCATTTATTCAGGTGTTAATTACAATCCGTGAGACACAAATATTGACAAGTTTGGTGAATTTCAGCCAAATAGGAAGACAGCCATATTCTTGACAAATAACGGTATGAAAAACAACCAAGGGTCATAAATATAACACTTTATTTTGGTTTCATTATACAAAGGTAGGATTACTGCTATTTACCTTACAATTACCTTCCATATGGGAGGCTGTGATGACAAGATAGTGATTGAACACAATTTCCATGTCATTTTTAGTATTTGTATTTATTTTTCTTTTTTAGTCAATCACAATTCAGTCAATACACTGACATGGACATGAACCCTCACCTTGTATGAGTCTTCAAGTCTGGGAGCTTCTTTCACTAGTACTTCAAAAACCTGCTTGATATTGGTGCCATCTTTCGCAGAGGTCTCCATGAAAGGAATACCTAGTTTCTGTGCCATTACTCTGCCTTCGTCGTGTGTGACCTCTCGTATGGCATCCAGGTCTACTTTGTTGCCACACAAAACCTAGATAAATACACAATGATCTCTTACAACACAATTTATAATTAATTTCACCTGTGAGTGACAGCATGTGGTGGTCCTTATTGGTCGGGTGGCGCAATGGTAACATGTCTTCCTCCTAGATGTCAACAGTTTAATGAAAAGGTATGAGGTTGACTGCCCAACCATGTTGGTTTTTGCTGGGTACTCCAGGCCAATATAAGTGACTAATATTAGTTGAAATAATGTTTTTTGCAATTGTTGTAAAATAAATATTAAGTAATTTTTATCACAGAAGAAAATTGCAAGTGAACAATGAAATATTTTGGTAAAAATCATATTCTTATTTGTGTTGTTATCATTCTCAAAACTTCATGTTATTTTACAAGACAAGATAACTTTCAAAATCTGTAAAATAAAATACAATTAATCAAAAATACGTTGATGTTGCTGATTTAGATAAATCTTCATTTCTATCATGATAGTAAAAACATTCAGTATGTAGACTTTCTATACAAGTTTGACAACAATTCTAGTTCAAGAATTTTTGGCATGCATGCAACAATATGGTGATAAAGCAACATGGATCATATTTTTTGTTTAATTTGGATTTTATTAAATAATTAAAAACTTAATTTTACCAGTATAAATAGAAAATATAAAATGTTTTGGTATCAATATTATTTAATGCTGGAATCCATGAATTTTCAAAAAAAAAATTTTAAAAATTGAAACATATAAAATGCTAAATTGAGTTCATACAAAAAAGGGTACATAATTAAATTTAAGCTCACAGCTGGAACATGATTTTCTGCCTTGATATTAAGCATCATATCGTAGATAGCCTCAGCCTCGTTGAAACTGGCCCGGTCAGTGATACTGTACACTAGAAGAAAGGCATCCCCAGTGCGAGTGTACTGATCCCTGAGAGCAGAATATTCCTCTTGGCCGGCCGTGTCCAAAATGTCTAACAAGCAGGTCTGACAAACAAATGACCAACATAAATATTGATTATAACATATAGCAAATTGTACTTATTAATTGAATATCTATAGATATATATTTATCATAGAAGTAAAAATTCTAAATGAACCCAAAAACATATCACTGAGATAATGGTGTTACAGTCGAATCTCGTTATCTCAAACTTGTATAACTTCAAGACTCCATTTAATTCAAAGTCTTTTCCTCTGTCCTGGCCAAACATTTTTTAACAAACATTTTGTCTCAATGAAATCAAATACTTGGATGACTCTAACTTATCCAACAGTTCCCCAGGCTTCAAAATAACAAAGTGCAATATATTGTGCAAATGGTCAGTCATAATTAAAAATCAATTAGTAACATGACCAATTCCAATTAGTGAATAAATCCTATGATAAAAAGTATCACATTAACATCCTCGCCAATTGAATTTCAAATGATTTTAGTCTCCATTTAGTCCATGCAGTTTTTTTCCTTTAACGTTTTGGAATGGGACCTTTTTCCATGTAAAATCAGAACAAGACAAATCTCTATTTCTATAAAAAATATCCAATTTGCACACATACTGAACTTTTTCAAAAGATAAATAGAGTTTGTGCAAATTAGGCAAACAAATAATTAAAATTTGAATCCTTATACAACGTTATGAAGCACTTACATCTCCAGTTTCCTGGTCACACTGGGGTGTTGACGGAATGAATTCTTTGTGATCCTGCTCTGAGACAAACTCTACATCTTCTTGTTCTCCGCCACCTAAGTACACTAAATTCCCACCAAACTCCATAACTACCTGATTTGGTCGAGTCACTAGCTTTTTGACGTGTTCACCTGTAAAATTAGAGGAAAGGTGAAAATTGTACATAATTCAATATTATACATGTACTAAACTTGTTTGAAAGGTTGCATACGATCAGTAAAAGTTATATCACTAGTACTTGACATCCTCCTCTTCCTGAAAGATATTTGTTTCAAGAATTTGACAGCAGGATGAACCTCCCACTGATTGACTAAAAGACAATGTTTTCTTATTAGAGCTGAAGATTTACAATATCATCCATCACACTTCCAGATTGTTACCATAAAACATGTTAAAAAGTCTAAGTCCTTAAGGATATTTGATCGGTACCTCTGAATATTTTTATTTATAAGAATTATGAAAATTTTTGACAGTAATATTTATTACTGTGAAAGCAGTATATCAGTAAAACTAACACTTGTAAACTGCTGGCACAATCTGTGAAACAATTTCATTTTATTCATATAGCAAAACACGAAACACTTGTAAACAAATCTGTACATCAGCCACATAATACCGAGTATTTAAAATTTGGTGACATGAGAAAGTGTAAATCGTTTGACATGAAACCTATGAGGCAATATCTTGCTTTTCGTATCGTATTTTATGGTGATATGTGAGAATTGTGACACTTTTATAAAACAAAAGCACTTATTCATGTAAATCTTCAGCAACTAACGATCAACACCCTTCAGGATCTATATCATACCATATAGGTTTAAATAGATGTACTTTGTTACTCATTTTCTAACATGCTTGTTTAAAAGTCCACGAATGAAATACACATCAGAGTAAGTTTTTCATGAAAGGCTGCACATACAAACTACACACTTTCAAACAGATAACTCTTTTCTATCCGTTTTATGACTTTATGGTTGAATGCAAAGACACAAAAAAAAATGAATTCCTCCAATTTTCTATCAAATACATGAATTGCGAATGTATGTAAAAATATACATACATAGCTGCTTATAAGTGTATAAGTAATCAGAGATATAAACCAATTAGTGGTCACATGACTTTAATATATAACACAAGATCTTGTCTGATTAATCAAAATCTCAACAATTTTTGTTTACCATGATCAACAAACTTTCACTTATGATTATATGTATCGAAGCCAAATAGGGTCTATTTAATAATGAAAACAATTTTCTTTCTGTGGAGAGATCACAGCAGACAAAATGTCAGGAATAATTCTCAAGGTTTGGAACCTGGTATCTGCAATTCATCAGGTTTCGATACTTTTTGAGTTCAGAAGCTTTTTGTATTTAGTCATTACATGTATATGTGTTTTTCGTAGTTATTAAGGGCTATGTCTGTGACCAAAGTGATATTGAAAGAAATAGCTGATAGAATGTCAGAATACTTTGGATTCTACAACACTCTCCCAATAGAATAAGATTAAAGAGGGATGACCTCTAGCTGCAAGCAGTGTCAAGTTATTAGATCTAGTACGAATGAACAGTGAATAACACATTCCTGTCAAGTGCTCCATCAGGAATCAAACCTTGGTTTCTGGCAATCATGATTTATAACTACACAGTTCTTGCTACTGAGCAAAAGAAGCATGCTCCATCAGCTAAGTGAATGTAAAGAGACTGTTTTTAACACTAAGTACAAGTCACACCAACCCGTCAGCTGAGTGACAGAGACCATATTTAACACTATGTACAAGTCACACAGACCTGTTTCTTCATATTACTTCCCTTGTTTTTCATGAGATTTCCTAAATTAACCATAAAGACTCAATATGATTATCTTGACACATAAGATATTCTGTTGTGTGTGAATGTGAAAAATTTAAGAAAAACACATTCATGTTGATTGCAGGTATCCTAACAGAATCAAAACAGGGTCTGTAAGGACAACTTGGCAGCTCTACATGTCGATGTACTAGTGCGACTGATCATGACATGAGGCAGCTTACTCCACAATGAGTTACAGATTCTACATATTTGATGTTATGTGTACAGTACATGTATTACCTACAATGACTTGGCCCTTAAGTACTTACCATAAGTACAAAAAATAGTTACATTTAACCTTAGCGAGGTCAAAGGCACTAAGTCCTCAAGAGAGGTTAGTTCTAGCACTGTTAATTGTAAGGCCAGGGGAAATGTTTCCTTAGTACAAACTGTATATCTCATTCTAGAAGCAGCCATTAGGGTCATCACGTGACAATCTAACAGTGTTTTACCTTGGATCTGTATTATATTTATCAAAGTAAAATGACTGCAGCCAAAATGAAAATTCTAGTAATATGGGACGCAGATAGGGGCTATTTTTCACGGGGGTTAACCAAACCATCTCAAGCTATATCTCAAATATTGTTTCAAAAAGCGGTAGTTAATGATTGGAGCCTCGGACTACAAATGGTTATGCTTACTATTAGTGTTATAACTTTATTTCATAGAAAAACAAAGTCCGATATTCATACATGTTTTCACATCAAACGAATATATTACAAGTTTCTAGATACAATGCTTCATCTTTACTGTACAATACTGAATGAGAACTTTCTCTGAGTGTATAAAAAGAAAGTGACAAAGAAGATTTCTAACAAATAATACCCTTACCGTTTTCAACTTCCTCCTTCGAGCAGTAGTTGTCAAACGGATTGTTATGGTGCAATCTTGCGAGCGGGTAATACCAGTCACCGCTTAAAATAGACGACAGGTTAATTACTAAAAATAGCCACGGATTTGATTGGTTGATCTAAAATAGATTCATCATATATACCAGGATACGTCTACGTAGCCAGTTCTTACCGGTCCTCCTCTCCTTCTCCACCCTACTTCCTTTACTATCAACCCTACCCTTAATACTCGACATCAAAATTACCCTATAACACTCATTCAGTCAGGGTCGCCAAACTTCCGCAGCGTCAAGTCGAACTCGTTTGTCTTTTGATCATCGCCCCCTTTCTAGAGACAGAATGTGTTTTGACTACACATTTTGTTTATTTGTTTATTATCTATAAACGGGTTTTACGTTCACTTTTACTAACTTTCGGCGTTTCAGAAGAATGTTTGTAAAAGGATATACATTCAGGTTAATGAAGTATAATACTGAAGCCGAAATCTTCGTTCAAATTGGTTGTGTATTTTAGTATAAGATAAAAGCAGAGACGTATATATCACATATACGTCTCTGATCAAAGTAAACAATGTTTCGTCATCGTTGTGTTATTTATCATCATAAACCACATGAAGGTATAGATTTTATTCGTATTAACCAAAAGGCAGCTTTCCTGTCCTGTTACACAGAAATACTAACATCTCAGCAGGTCCAAGGGGTGAGGTATGGATCTCATTTCACATAGCGAGAATTTCCAACAATAAACAGGCTTCTGATGACTGATAGGTATTTCTAAAGAGACATCATAATGTTCGACTTGACCAGTCTAATGATGTAATGATCCTCTTTATAAAGGGAGATAATTCACATGAATATCAATGTGTACCAAGAGTTTACCTGTTTGTAATGTTTATTTCTACGCATAGCTTGGATCATATTATAGTGTTTATCCGCCATTTCGTCTAATGATATCTTTCTTTCCAATCATTTACCTATAAGTGGACAAAAACATAGAAAGCTGTAATTTGGTATGTACATAGAGATGTAATTTGGTATGTACATAGAGATGTAATTTGGTATGTACATAGAGATGTAATTTGGTATGTACATAAAGATGTAATTTGATATGTACATACATCTGTAATTTGGTATGTACATAGAGATGTAATTTGGTATGTACATAGAGATGTAATTTGGTATGTACATAGAGCTGTAATTTGGTATGTACATAATACTGTAATTTGATATGTACATACATCTGTAATTTGGTATGTACATAGAGATGTAATTTGGTATGTACATACATCTGTAATTTGATATGTACATACATCTGTAATTTGGTATGTACATAGAGATGTAATTTGGTATGTACATAGAGCTGTAATTTGGTATGTACATAGAGCTGTAATTTGGTATGTACATAGAGATGTAATTTGGTATGTACATAGAGATGTAATTTGGTATGTACATAGAGATGTAATTTGGTATGTACATAGAACTGTAATTTGGTATGTACATAGAGATGTAATTTGGTATGTACATAAAGATGTAATTTGATATGTACATACATCTGTAATTTGGTATGTACATAGAGATGTAATTTGGTATGTACATAGAGCTGTAATTTGGTATGTACATAATACTGTAATTTGATATGTACATACATCTGTAATTTGGTATGTACATAGAGATGTAATTTGGTATGTACATAGAGCTGTAATTTGGTATGTACATAGAGCTGTAATTTGGTATGTACATAGAGATGTAATTTGGTATGTACATACATCTGTAATTTGATATGTACATACATCTGTAATTTGGTATGTACATAGAGATGTAATTTGGTATGTACATAGAGCTGTAATTTGGTATGTGCATAGAGCTGTAATTTGGTATGTACATACATCTGTAATTTGGTATGTACATAGAGATGTAATTTGGTATGTACATAGAGATGTAATTTGATATGTACATACATCTGTAATTTGGTATGTACATAGAGATGTAATTTGGTATGTACATAGAGATGTAATTTGGTATGTACATAGAGATGTAATTTGGTATGTACATACATCTGTAATTTGGTATGTACATACATCTGTAATTTGGTATGTACATAGAGCTGTAATTTGATATGTACATAGAGCTGTAATTTGGTATGTACATAGAGATGTAATTTGGTATGTACATACATCTGTAATTTGGTATGTACATACATCTGTAATTTGGTATGTACATAATACTGTAATTTGGTATGTACATAGAGGTATGTACATACATCTGTAATTTGGTATGTACATAGAGATGTAATTTGGTATGTACATAGAGCTGTAATTTGGTATGTACACAGAGCTGTAATTTGGTATGTACATAGAGATGTAATTTGGTATGTACATAGAAATGTAATTTGGTATGTACATAGAGATGTAATTTGGTATGTACATAAAGATGTAATTTGATATGTACATACATCTGTAATTTGGTATGTACATAGAGATGTTATTTGGTATGTACATAGAGATGCAATTTGGTATGTACATAGAGCTGTAATTTGGTATGTACATAATACTGTAATTTGATATGTACATACATCTGTAATTTGGTATGTACATAGAGATGTAATTTGGTATGTACATAGAGATGTAATTTGGTATGTACATAGAGATGTAATTTGATATGTACATACATCTGTAATTTGGTATGTACATAGAGATGTAATTTGGTATGTACATAGAGCTGTAATTTGGTATGTACATAGAGCTGTAATTTGGTATGTACATACATCTGTAATTTGGTATGTACATAGAGATGTAATTTGGTATGTACATAGAGCTGTAATTTGGTATGTACATAGAGATGTAATTTGGTATGTACATAGAGATGTAATTTGATATGTACATAGAGCTGTAATTTGGTATGTACATAGAGATGTAATTTGGTATGTACATACATCTGTAATTTGGTATGTACATACATCTGTAATTTGGTATGTACATAGAGCTGTAATTTGGTATGTACATAGAGCTGTAATTTGGTATGTACATACATCTGTAATTTGGTCTGTACATAGAGCTGTAATTTGGTATGTACATAGAGATGTAATTTGGTATGTACATAGAGCTGTAATTTGGTATGTACATAGAGATGTAATTTGGTATGTACATACATCTGTAATTTGGTATGTACATAGAGCTGTAATTTGGTATGTACATAGAGCTGTAATTTGGTATGTACATAGAGATGTAATTTGGTATGTACATAGAGCTGTAATTTGGTATGTACATAGAGCTGTAATTTGGTATGTACATACATCGGTAATTTGGTATGTACATAGAGATGTAATTTGGTATGTACATAATACTGTAATTTGGTATGTACATAATACTGTAATTTGGTATGTACATAGAGGTATGTACATAGAGATGTAATTTGGTATGTACATAGAGATGTAATTTGGTATGTACATAATACTGTAATTTGGTATGTACATAATACTGTAATTTGGTATGTACATAGAGATGTAATTTGGTATGTACATAGAGCTGTAATTTGGTATGTACATAGAGATGTAATTTGGTATGTACATAATACTGTAATTTGATATGTACATAGAGCTGTAATTTGGTATGTACATAGAGCTGTAATTTGGTATGTACATAGAGCTGTAATTTGGTATGTACATAATACTGTAATTTGGTATGTACATGTAGTCATATTTGTATAATAATATGCAAGTAATGTTCTGATTTGCTTATGATGAATTTATTTTCCAGAATTATTGTGGCAAACAGTCTGACTCCAGTTTGAATAAAATATTATCTGCCATAGATTCTGCCGACAGGAAATCAGTTCAGTTACGCGACTCGTGAATACACCTCTTCACAAAGCCGTTTAACTATAAAAAAAAATCTTTCTGTGGTGGTGGGGAAAGTGAAGGTGGGGTCTTTCTTTTCCTTTTCTCCCCTCCTTTTATTTTCTGTAGATATGCTACGCTAAATTTGCGTGTCTTTTATTTTCTGTAGATATGCTACGCTAAATTTGCGTGTCTTTATTTTCTGTAGATATGCTACGCTAAATTTGCGTGTCTTTTATTTTCTGTAAGATCAACTTCAATACCTGTCATACAGACCATCCACCATTGTACCATATGTTTTATCTTCTGTTTTTCTATTTGACGTAATTCTGACTTAGCTTATAGATGTAACAAGAATACGCCAGCTTGTCAATAATAACTTCACAAAAAACTCACTGACTTTCAGATCTACCTATTAAGTATAAACACTTATGCAGGGGATCTAACCCTTGTCATGCATATTTATGTTAATAGTTTAAACACGTCTTTGAAATACGTTATATGTATATATATATATACAGCAAAATAAACTGTCAATCGTAAAATACATTTTACATCCAACCTTCCTTTATAATGCATTATCTTCATAATGACACAGGGATTCAGACAATCGGTCAATCGAGATTGTCATATAGTCACAGCTGTGACATGTTGGACTGGAGACAAAATCCGAAGTAACCAGCTGGTGAATGTAGCACAATAACGGTGTGCTGCTGTAGATGAGCCCCGAACTGGCATTTTGTGGACGTGCATTGTCCGGCTGCAAGATGATATTGTGCTGTTTCTTATGGCAGAACGTAATGACGTATGATTTCGCCATAGTAACGCACACCAGTCAAATTCCCTTCCTCCCGCACGTTGCGATGCCATTCAGACAATATTCTCCTTTCGCTGAAACGTCACTATAACGTTCTCACGGCCGACGGTACACCGAACACGACCGTCCATGCTAAAGGTGAAATCTGAACAAATAGGACCTTTCCCTAGCTTGAGGGTTGGACAGAGAAATCTCTATCCTAGGAGGAGATTCCCGACAGTCTAACATAAGGGCAAAGCCTCTGATTAGACAGGGAACTAGGAAAAGGATATTTTTGTCTACTCCTTTATATCCGACATACTAGAAATAGAATAACGAGACAGATGTATGCTGACAAAATGTGGAAACAAAATCAGGCAAAAAATAACTTTTGATTTTATTTTGACCGTTTTTAATCTAGGTAATCTGTACTATGATACCATAATGAGAAATCAATAGAATATGCATTTTGAATTGATTTGTATCAATAAATAAGATAGTGTCTTACAACACCAATTAGTCACATCTCTCACGTCTCAAATTAACAACTTCCGGTTTAGCACGTGTATATATTCTCTGCATGCAGTCTGTCTACCCGTCAAGATAGAGATACCTGACACTCACCGGAAGAATGACATCTGTGAATAGCACCTCCGACCAGTCCCTCTTGATGAAATGCAGATGTCTGCTGCACCTTGCTCAGCGTTAATGCAAAACTGGATGTCGCAAGCGATGATGGTCTATCGCAGTCTGTTTCATAAGTTCTAAAACTGCTCCGACGAAGTCCTGGAATGTGTGTAGTGTTCAATGAGGACCGGAACCGATTAAGCAAATGCGACATCCGTATCACGTATCTTGCTGACGTGACAAACGCGGACGTCTTGTTCAAGGGTATTCCGATACCGTGCTTGTCTGCTGAAAACGCCTCCACAAGGTATTTATCAATGAGTTTCCCAAACTGCCTTTCCATATTTTTTGAGATATTCCAGTCTCCAACATGCCAATAGAATGCAAACGTTTATTTTTCGTCCATAAGTGATATGTTACTTATAATATGGTCTCCCAAAAAGCGCAATACATCCAAATTAATGTTAATGCTATTGTGATATTGTATACTAGTGAATTACATCACTGATGTAAACCGGTGATATAGGAAGAAATACATGACAAATGTTGTTCTATTTTATCATTAATGAGTAACATTTAAGTAGGAAAAAGTAAAGAAAAAATACCGGCATTTCACCGATTAAAGTGTACTACATGAATATAAATGATTCGTTTTTATCATTAACGAGTAACATTTTAAACCGGATTACATTGATACGTCATGCGCTTTAATATTGCACCAAATCGTCACGGTAACATAGACAGGCTTGGAATATAAGGTTAGTTTTGTTCACTTTTGACACTAGACAAACCATTATATCTTTGAATAAAGATATGTAATAAACATTTTGTAAATAATGACGAAAATGGTCATATTGCGTTCATGGTACCTAACCATTTGCGGTGCTGTCAAAATCACGTCCGACTGAGTGTGTCCAGGACCTCCCTGGTACGCTTGCCAGTCGCCTCATCAATACCTTCACAGATAAGTTCTGTATCCCCAAAAGTAATCCTGACTTTCGCTGTCCTCTCTTTTCCCTGAGACCTGTCAGGCATATTGACGGTGATCTTGCCGAGATAGGAGCACCCGTTGTCTGTCACGTAGACAGGATCAGGTTCAGTGGATTTGTATATATCTACAGCCATTTTGGTGAGGTCTCCAGAGACTGGACTCAGTTCAATGTCTTGTCCATCACCAAGCAGATAGGACGTTCCCACCTCGGCTATCTTACCGAAACAGTCACCACAGTAGGTTTCACCGTCAATGACGTGTCGTTTTTCTGGGGGATCAAAATCCTCCATGAAGTACCTGTAAGACCTTGTACCGTAAGAATACTTAGCGATGCGCTCTTTAACAACATCCGGGTTATGGCCGTAGAGGACGGCTCCTTTAAGCACAGCAAGTCCCGCGTTTTCTGGAATCACCAAGCGTTTGGTGTTAAATATTTCTGTTAATGTCGTTTTGATAATGCTTGAATCTGCAAATCCCCCGACTAAAATTATGTCTTCCAAGTCCGACGCCTCCGGCAGTTGAAGTAAATCTCTGAGGTGATTAACGATGCTATCGACAACTGGTCGAAAAAAACTAGCAGCAATTTCCTTGTTTATTCGTAAATGACCTCTTGAAATATCCACTTTTCCTGCATATTCGGTTTCAAAAGTTAATCTGTTACCCAATTTAGCACCATTATTTAATTTCTCATAAACTTCCATCAGAGAGCAAGGAAGTGGAATCATTAATCTGCCATATTTATCGCCTTCTACATTGCGTTTCTTCATCTCTATAGATCTTTCCAGTTCCAAGTAATCAGCCTTATAATGCAAACGTAGCTCTGACAAGACATTTTCGCCGACAAGCTTCGAAATGAACCCGAGGAATTGGGCGTTGACTTCCATCCCTCCCCAGGCGCCACCGGTAGCCTGATGGACCTCCTTGAGATTCCTGTTCTCCAGCACCTCTCGTACAGTAATATCCACAGTACCACCTGCGACAATCGATGGACAAAATCATAAAGACTAGTTACACAAGGACTTCGCAAAACTTCTCGGTCGATATATATGTAATATGCTAACAAGGATTGTAACTTCCGAAAAGCGAAAATTGATTAAAAGAAAATTTGAAATTTATCTTATTTTCGTTCCCAAGATAAAAATTATTAGTCATAATTCTCTACTATATTTTGGAGTCTACGTCGAGGTCGAGTACGACCTATACCAATCCGTGGTTCAGTTTTCTCTCTTCAGGGTTTACCACGCCTGCCACTATAGTACATATAAATATGAATCAAGGGTTGGAAATCCTCTGATTTAAAATTTCAAACCATTATAAACTGAATCATTTTCAAAGAATATCTGACGAAAATGTATAACAACTGAGATAGTGCAATACGATATTAGTTAAATATTTTCTTGATATGAATTGTGATCAAAATTTGTTGATTATATCAAATTAATTCATAAAAATCAATTCAACATCACGTGTTTCCATCGAATGTCTTGTATAAGTGGGACATTGTTAACTCGAAGTCCCTGTATAATTCGAAGTATTTCGTCTTTCGCGGATAAACTTCACACTAGACATTCGAACTTACTAAAATCGAATACTCTGATAACTCGAAGTTTCCCCCACCGTCCTACCGACATCGAGATAACGAGGTTCCACTGTATTGTATTATTTGATACAATCCTTGATTTTTAGTATGATGTTTGTATGATTTTTATATAATTACGATTATTCCAAAAATGTACAACGACGATCGTGACAGAAGTACACCTCCGAACAAATTTTGAAAACAGGGTTAATCTGACAATAAACACCCAGATGTCAACAGAATCAAACTCAAATTCGATGAAACCTCGGCAAAATATAACCAAAAGAAAAAAATTACACAGCGACATATGAAAAAAGAGAATAAGACCAGGTGTTCCAGAAATGAAAGCTTCTGATTCATAAATGACACTCGCATTGTAAATCTTGGGCAATTAAATAAGAAATGCCACGTTCCCAAATTTCCTTGAAATGTCTTCACTATGATTTAAATTAATTTGAATGTTTGATTTAGTATTTCATTGAAAGAGTTTAACAGAAATACCTCCTAAGTCGATAAGCATGTATTTCGTTCCCGGAGCATAAGGAGCTAGGAGGGCGGTTCCATCTTTCTTGATTATCCTCTGTGCTAGTTTCTCCTTTGCGTAGATAGATGCAGCTTCCGGTTCTAACGCAATAACCAACTGGCGTCGCTCTATACCTACCTACCCAAGTAAACAGTGAACATTAATCGGTGGTGTATTTCCTGTCCCCGTAACTATTCCTGCTATGTTTGAATTTAAACAAAAAGTGGCGGAGGATTTAAGTTTAAGCTTACTTTGTTGTTAAAGTAAAAAAAAAACCTTATCTCAAGAATCAAATGTCAAGGCATCTGTTCCTGTCTTCCATAATTTGGCATTGTTTATTGTTAAAAACAGATTTTTCGACCTAGAAGTAAATCATTTTGTTTTGATTTTGTCTGTCGAAGAAACCGGTCTTCACTCTTCTGTACGACGATTGGAAAAGTACTAGCCACCCTTCAAAATGGCATTTTTATATCTATATTGGTGTTCAGCAAGATGTGAATGTTTTGAATGTTTGAGAACATACACATATGGGCAGTGTAGTAAGTTAACTGTAATTGAACCACACAGTTTGTAACTATGATACGACAAGTGTTTCAAAGCAAATCTTGACACAATGTGTTAAGAAATAACTGACCCGAATATCACGCCTATATGACATACCTCTTCAGCTGCCTCTCTCATTAACTGTTTGGCAGAGTCGCCCCATATAGCCGGCATTGTTAGTACCCATCTGATCTCATTCGCCCGAACAAGGTCCCCTTTTGTCTTAAGAGTCTTCATCATTTCATCCCGCAGATATTTGATGCATTCAGTGAACACCAGCATCGCCGGAAGTGCATTGCCTTGTTCGTCTTTGATTTTAGTATCTCTCGTTAAATTCTGTCTCCGAATGATAAAAGTAAAATTGTATTAATTTTCACAGACATCAGGGCACCCACTAAAAGAAGGACAAACTGAAAACTCTGGTCGGGAATAGAAAACGTACACGGAATCACATATGGTGTTGTCATAGTTACATAATGTCGAAATAAAGAGTATATGAAAGAGATTTAGAAATACACTACTGAATAACGATTAATATTGGCGCAATGAAATTAGCTAAAATAAGACATCTTAATCTACATGCAAAGAACATATTCTTTACGGCAAAAGTATTAATATTACAATCATACATAGAGCTATGTATAATATATAGAGGTATGTATTGTATACAGAGGTATGTATTGTATATATAGGTATGTATTGTATATAGAGGTATGTATTGTATATAGAGGTATGTATTGAATATAGAGCAATGAATTGTATAAATATAGGTATGTATTGTATATAGAGGTATGTATTGTATATAGAGGTATGTATTGTATATATAGGTATGTATTGTATATATAGGTATGTATTGTATATAGAGGTATGTTTTGTATATATATCTATGTCTTTTATTTAGAGGTATGTGTAGAATATATAGTGGTATGTATTGTATATAGAGGTATGTATTGTATATAGGGGTATGTATTGTATATAGAGGTATGTATTATATATAGGTATGTATTGTATATAGAGGTATGTATTGTATATATAGGTATGTATTATATATAGGTATGTATTGTATATAGAGGTATGTATTATATATAGGTATGTATTGTATATACAGGTATGTATTGTATATATAGGTATGTATTGTATATAGAGGTATGTGTTGTATATATAGGTAGGTATTGTATATAGAGGTATGTATTGTATATATAGGTATGTATTGTATATATATAGGTATGTATTGTATATAGAGGTATGTATGTATTGTATATATATAGGTATGTATTGTATATATATAGGTATGTATTGTATATAGAGGTATGTATTGTATATATAGGTATGTATTGTATATAGAGGTATGTATTGTATATAGGGGTGTGTATTGTATATATATATAGGTGTGTGTTATATATATATTATATATATATATATATATAGGTGTGTGTTATATATATATGTGTATATATATATATATATATATATATGTGGTGTGTGTTATATATATAGGTGTGTATTATATATATAGGTGTGTATTATATATATAGGTGTGGTGTGTGTTATATATATAGGTGTGTATTATATATATATAGGTGTGTATTATATATATATATATATGTGTGTATTATATATATATGTGTATATATATATATATATATATATTATATGTGTGTGTGTGTATTATATATATATATGTGTGTGTATTATATATATATAGGTGTGTTTATATATATATATATATGTATGTATATATATATATATATATATATATATATGTGTGTGTGTGTGTGTGTGTGTGTATTATATATATATATAGGTGTGTATTACATATAGAGGTGTGTATTATATATATATATATGTGTGTGTATATATATATATATATATATATATATATATATATATATATAGGTGTGTATTATATATAGGAGGTATGTATTGTATATAGAGGTATGTTTTGTATATATATAGGTATGTATTGTATATATAGGTATGTATTGTATATAGAGGTATGTATTGTATATATAGGTATGTTTTGTATATAGGGGTATGTATTGTATATATAGGTATGTATTGTATATATATAGGTATGTATTGTATATAGAGGTATGTATTGTATAGGGGTATGTATTGTATATATAGGTGTGTATTATATATATATATATAAAGGTGTGTATTATATATATAGGTGTGTATTATATATATATATAGGTGTGTATTATATATAGAGGTGTGTATTATATATATATGTATGTGTGTGTTATATATATATATATAGGTGTGTTTTATATATAGAGGTGTGTATTATATATATATGTGTGTGTGTATTATATATATATATAGGTGTGTTTTATATATAGAGGTGTGTATTATATATATATATATATATATATATATGTGTGTGTGTGTGTGTGTGTGTGTATTATACATATATAGGTGTGTATTATATATAGAGGTGTGTATTATATATATATATATATATGTGTGTGTATTATATATATATATATATATGTATAGGTGTGTATTATATATATATATAGAGGTATGTATAGTATATAGAGGTATGTATTGTATATAGAGGTATGTATTGTATATATAGGTATTTATTGTATATATAGGTATGTATTGTATATATAGGTATGTATTGTATATAGAGGTATGTATTGTATATAGAATTGCGTAAGCATGTGTTATTTGATTAGTCATTATGAAATTATTTAATTGCAAGCAAAATTTTTAAAAATGATTTTTTGCTCTCGAAATCTTTGTTATTCATAGACAAAATAATGAAACAAACGTGACGAAAGTTGTAGATACCATTTTTTAACAAATGTTCAGACATGAATAGAGGTGAAAACTTAAGCTTACCTCTTCTGTATGAAGAATCATCTTGAAATTTTTGAAGTACCGATAACCGTAATGGGCATTTTCTTCAGCTAGTTCCGCGTACTGGTCTTCAGCCTCGTATCCGAATGCCTCGAACGTTTGATCAGAACGAAGTAGGAGACAGGTCGGTGTTTTGTGTGACATCACTCCAGATCCTCTCGTGCTTTGCCATACTTTGGCTTCAATTTGAAGAGGCGAACGTTTATAATCGGCAACAAAAGAGTATGCCATTCCCGAAAAGGTCGTCCCGAAGTCAATGGCAGCCACTGCCAGTATCTGGGGAGGCCGTGGACTATTGGTGTTGTGTGGTAGGAGAAACAAAAATTAAACAAATATATAATGTTCACAATTAGTCCTGTTAAACTAATGAATGAACACGTGATCTAAATTATTATTGTAGTTAAATAATGTGTTATGAAATTTGTTTTATCCGAAACCCTGTGGACAATCTGAATGTCAGATACGTCGCACAAATAAATCATGTTCATTTTTCACCGGGAAAAAATGTTGAATTAGAATTTTGAATTGGACAGGATGCTGAAAAACTGACGGTGTGTGTTTATTTGATCAAATATATGACATATTAATAAAATGTAGATTCAAAATTATTTCAATATATCAGATATCTGATAATAAGATTTCTTTTGCATTTAAAATTTCGTCTCCATACAAGACAAATTATCTCATTGTCGTTGTTCTTTGATAAATGTAACGTTTATTTGCTGTAAATATATCAGTGCATCTTGCGATATAAACTAGATAATAATATTTATACATACCTTGCGATATAAATTAGATAATAATAGTTATACATACCTTGCGATATAAACTAGATAATAATATTTATACATACCTTGCGATATAAACTAGATAATATTATGTATACATACCTTGCGATATAAACTAATAGTTATACATATCTTGCGATATAAACTAGATAATGATATTTATACATACCTTGCGATATAAACTAGATAATATTATGTATACATACGTTGGAGTATCATAAACAACACTTTCTTTGAAAACCATGCTATCAATGTTGACGTAATGATTTTCTTCCTCGTCGTTGGAGGTGGAAGTGAAGTTGCTAGCCATTTTCACCAGTGGTTGTTGGTTTTCCATTTACAATCTGTAATGGCACAGAAAAATAGTTTTTAAGAGAGGTTCGGTTCGCCTTTCGTCACGATATCATATCCGCTTCATGTGTATCTTTTGTCAGACTGGTCGGGCGTAGCGTGACGCAACCGCCTTTCACAGAGATGTCTGGGGTTCGATTTCACGAGCGGTCGTGGTAAGGTAAGGGGTCATCTGCACGTGGTATTCCGGTTTCCTACCACAGTAAGACAACACCAGCGTTTCTATCCTGGCAAACAAAAGTATTGTATTTTTTTGTATTGTATCGTATTGTAGCTGTATCGTCCTGCATCATACAGCTGTCTCGTCCTGTACCATACAGCTGTCTCGTCCTGTATCATACAGCTGTCTCGTCCTGTACCATACAGTTGTCTCGTCCTGTATCATACAGCTGTCTCGTCCTGTAGTATACAGCTGTGTTGTCCTGTACCATACAGCTGTCTCGTCCTGTATCATACAGCTGTCTCGTCCTGTACAATACAGCTGTCTCGTCCTGTATCATACAGCTGTCTCGTCCTGTATCATACAGCTGTCTCGTCCTGTACCATACAGCGGTCTCGTCCTGTATCATACAGCTGTCTCGTCCTGTACCATACAGCTGTCTCGTCCTGTAGTATACAGCTTTCTCGTCTTGTACCATACAGCTGTCTCGTCCTGTACCATACAGCTGTCTCGTCCTGTACCATACAGCTGTCTCGTCCTGTACCATACAGCTGTCTCGTCCTGTATCATACAGCTCTCTCGTCCGGTAGTATACAGCTGTCTCGTCCTGTATCATACAGCTGTCTCGTCCTGTATCATACAGCTGTCTCGTCCTGTACCATACAGCGGTCTCGTCCTGCATCATACAGCTCTCTCGTCCTGCATCATACAGTTGTCTCGTCCTGTACCATACAGTTGTCTCGTCCTGAATCATACGGCTGTCTCGTCCTGTATCATACAGCTGTCTCGTCCTGTAGTATACAGCTTTCTCGTCCTGTATCATATAGCTGTTTCGTCCTGTAGTATACAGCTGTCTCGTCCTGTACCATACAGCTGTCTCGTCCTGTATCATACAGCTGTCTCGTCCTGTACAATACAGCTGTCTCGTCCTGTATCATACAGCTGTCTCGTCCTGTACCATACAGCTGTCTCGTCCTGTATTATACAGCTTCCTCGTCCGGTAGTATACAGCTGTCTCGTCCTGTATCATACAGCAGTCTCGTCTTGTAGTATACAGCTGTCTCGTCCTGTACCATACAGCTGTCTCGTCCTGTATCATACAGCTGTCTCGTCCTGTACCATACGGCTGTCTCGTCCTGTATCATACAGCTGTCTCGTCCTGTAGTATACAGTTGTCTCGTCCTGTACCATACAGCTGTCTCGTCCTGTATCATACAGCTGTCTCGTCCTGTACCATACAGCTGTCTCGTCCTGTATCATACAGCTGTCTCGTCCTGTATCATACAGCTATTTTGTCCTGTATCATACAGCTCTCTCGTCTTGTACCATACAGCTGTCTCGTCCTGTATCATACAGCTGTCTCGTCCTGTACCATACAGCTGTCTCGTCCTGTATCATACAGCTCTCTCGTCCGGTAGTATACAGCTGTCTCGTCCTGTATCATACAGCTGTCTCGTCCTGTATCATACAGCTGTCTCGTCCTGTACAATACAGCTGTCTCGTCCTGTATCATACAGCTGTCTCGTCCTGTACCATACAGCTGTCTCGTCCTGTATCATACAGCTGTCTCGTCCTGTAGTATACAGCTGTCTCGTCCTGTATCATACAGCTGTCTCGTCCTGTATCATACAGCTGTCTCGTCCTGTATCATACAGCTGTCTCGTCCTGTATCATACAGCTGTCTCGTCCTGTATCATACAGCTGTCTCGTCCTGTATCATACAGCTGTCTCGTCCTGTACCATACAGCTGTCTCGTCCTGTATCATACAGCTGTCTCGTCCTGTACCATACAGCTGTCTCGTCCTGCATCATACAGTTGTCTCGTCCTGTAGTATACAGCTGTCTCGTCCTGTATCATACAGCTGTCTCGTCCTGTACCATACAGCTGTCTCGTCCTGTATCATACAGCTGTCTCGTCCTGTATCATACAGCTGTCTCGTCCTGTATCATACAGCTGTCTCGTCCTGTATCATACAGCTGTCTCGTCCTGTATCATACAGCTGTCTCGTCCTGTACCATACAGCTGTCTCGTCCTGTATCATACAGCTGTCTCGTCCTGTACCATACAGCTGTCTCGTCCTGTATCATAAAGCTGTCTCGTCCTGTATCTTACAGCTGTCTCGTCCTGTATCATACAGCTGTCTCGTCCTGTATCATACAGCTGTCTCGTCCTGCATCATACAGCTGTCTCGTCCTGTATCATACAGCTGTCTCGTCCTGTATCATACAGCTGTCTCGTCCTGTATCATACAGCTGTCTCCTCCTGTAGGATTTAGCTGTGTAGTCCTGTAGCATACAGCTGTCTCGTCCTGTATCATACAGCTGTCTCGTCCTGTATCATACAGCTACAGTGTCTCGTCCTGTATCATACAGCTCGTCTCTGTCCTGTATCATACAGCTGTCTCGTCCTGTATCATACAGCTGTCCTGTATCATACAGCTGTCTCGTCCTGTATCATACAGCTGTCTCGTCCTGTAGAATACAGCTGTCTCGTCCTGTATCATACAGCTGTCTCGTCCTGTATCATACAGCTGTCTCGTCCTGTATCATACAGCTGTCTCGTCCTGTATCATACAGCTGTCTCGTCCTGCATCATACAGCTGTCTCGTCCTGTATCATACAGCTGTCTCGTCCTGTAGTATACAGCTGTCTCGTCCTGTATCATACAGCTGTCTCGTCCTGTATCATACAGCTGTCTCGTCCTGTATCATACAGCTGTCTCGTCCTGTACCATACAGCTGTCTCGTCCTGTATCATACAGCTGTCTCGTCCTGTATCATACAGCTGTCTCGTCCTGTATCATACAGCTGTCTCGTCCTGTATCATACAGCTGTCTCGTCCTGTATCATACAGCTGTCTCGTCCTGTATCATACAGCTGTCTCGTCCTGTATCATACAGCTGTCTCGTCCTGTATCATACAGCTGTCTCGTCCTGTATTATACAGCTGTCTCGTCCTGTATCATACAGCTGTCTCGTCCTGTACAATACAGCTGTCTCGTCCTGTATCATACAGCTGTCTCGTCCTGTATCATACAGCTGTCTCGTCCTGTATCATACAGCTGTCTCGTCCTGTATCATACAGCTGTCTCGTCCTGTATCATACAGCTGTCTCGTCCTGCATCATACAGCTGTCTCGTCCTGTATCATACAGTTGTCTCGTCCTGTAGTATACAGCTGTCTCGTCCTGTATCATACAGCTGTCTCGTCCTGTCCAGCTGTCTCGTCCTGTATCATACAGCTGTCTCGTCCTGTATCATACAGCTGTCTCGTCCTGTCTCGTCCTGTATCATACAGCTGTCTCGTCCTGCATCATACAGCTGTCTTGTTCTGTATCATACAGCTGTCTCGTCCTGTACAATACAGCTGTCTCGTCCTGTATCATACAGCTGTCTCGTCCTGCATCATACAGCTGTCTCGTCCTGTATCATACAGCTGTCTCGTCCTGTAGTATACAGCTGTCTCGTCCTGTATCATACAGCTGTCTCGTCCTGTATCATACAGCTGTCTCGTCCTGCATCATACAGCTGTCTCGTCCTGTATCATACAGTTGTCTCGTCCTGTACCATACAGCTGTATATAGCTGTCTCGTCCTGTATCATACAGCTGTCTCGTCCTGTATCATACAGCTGTCTCGTCCTGTATCATACAGCTGTCTCGTCCTGTACCATACAGCTGTCTCGTCCTGTATCATACAGCTGTCTCGTCCTGTATCATACAGCTGTCTCGTCCTGTATCATACAGCTGTCTCGTCCTGTACCATACAGCTGTCTCGTCCTGTATCATACAGCTGTCTCGTCCTGTATCATACAGCTGTCTCGTCCTGTACCATACAGCTGTCTCGTCCTGTATCATACAGCTGTCTCGTCCTGTACCATACAGCTGTCTCGTCCTGTATCATACAGCTGTCTCGTCCTGTACCATACAGCTGTCTCGTCCTGTACCATACAGCTGTCTCGTCCTGTATCATACAGCTGTCTCGTCCTGTATCATACAGCTGTCTCGTCCTGTATCATACAGCTGTCTCGTCCTGTATCATACAGCTGTCTCGTCCTGTACCATACAGCTGTCTCGTCCTGTATCATACAGCTGTCTCGTCCTGTATCATACAGCTGTCTCGTCCTGTATCATACAGCTGTCTCGTCCTGTATCATACAGCTGTCTCGTCCTGTATCATACAGCTGTCTCGTCCTGCATCATACAGCTGTCTCGTCCTGTATCATACAGCTGTCTCGTCCTGTATCATACAGCTGTCTCGTCCTGTATCATACAGCTGTCTCGTCCTGCATCATACAGCTGTCTCGTCCTGTATCATACAGTTGTCTCGTCCTGTAGTATACAGCTGTCTCGTCCTGTAGTATACAGCTGTCTCGTCCTGTATCATACAGCTGTCTCGTCCTGCATCATACAGCTGTCTCGTCCTGTATCATACAGCTGTCTCGTCCGGTAGTATACAGCTGTCTTGTTCTGTATCATACGGCTGTCTCGTCCTGCATCATACAGCTGTCTCGTCCTGTAGTACACAGCTGTCTCGTCCGGTAGTATACAGCTGTCTCGTCCTGTATCATACAGCTGTCTCCTCCTGTAGTATACAGCTGTCTCGTCCTGTATCATACAGCTGTCTCGTCCTGCATCATACATCTGTCTTGTTCTGTATCATACGGCTCTCTCGTCCTGCATCATACAGCTGTCTCGTCCTGTAGTATACAGCTGTCTCGTCCTGTATCATACAGCTGTCTTGTTCTGTATTATACAGCTGTCTCGTCCTGTATCATACAGCTATTTTGTCCTGTACCATACA